CCATGGTTCAGATCCGGTGTGAAGCTATGGAGATTATGTTCACTTAGTAGCCTAGTTTTATTGTTTCAGTATTGTCTTGGGTCCTGTCGTGTCCTGTATTTGGTTATGCTTCAAGCTTTTGAGATGTTCAGTTTTACTTTGCTACATTGTCTGGTCTTAACTTTATGTATTCTCATCTCCATGAGTAATGTCTGGCCTTTTCAAGCCTGTTGGAACATGGAAGTAGTTGGCTTTTGCATCACGACTATGCACCATTGCAGACTTCCGTTTGGTAACTGCAAACTGTGGTGACTTAATTTGTGGCGTGTTCAAGTCAATGCTCCATTCCATATGTCTCTTACTGTTTTCATATAACTGTGGGGAGTATGACCCCCGGTATCCATAAGACAAGACATGGGCCGCACCATCAGAGGTGGCCCAGCCCACAAGATCAAGGCGTGCACGGCACTGGTCGACGTGCACCACAAGATATTATATAGTACCAAAAATGATACTTTTTTTGTAACTCTACCCCTCCAGAGTATATAAGGAGAGGCAGGGGTTCCCTAGTCGACATCTACATACATCTCATATTCAATACAATACACCAAAGACACAGGACGTAGGGTATTACGTCGATCAGATGGCCCGAACCTGTCTAAATCGCTGTCTTTGCGCCTTGTGTCACCATCCGGTTCCTGATCACGCGCATATCCACCGATCAATCTACCTTTGTGGGATACCCATCGGAGGACTGCCGAGCATCTTTTGTCGACAGTTGGCGCCCACCGTGGGGATCGTGCACGCTGATCCCTGGCGAACCAGATGGTGTAACTCAAGATCAACATACTTCGTGGCAACTCGGCGGATCGCGTCGACATCCTTCGACAACCACGGCGCGCGTCTTCGTACGCGGATTGACACCGCCAAGCTCCGACTACGTCCGTCCTACTCCAACACGAGATCAACTTCGTTCCAGCCATCAAGCGAGCCGCTAAGCGAGCTGTCCGCGACGCCGACCAGATAACGCCGTACGTCGCCGACCAGACGTTCTGTCTAAAGCTAAGTCAGGCTTTAATATTTTTCTAAATATTCTCCGATCTTCATATATCGCCACGATGTTTCTCCGAGCTGTTTTCTCCATGTTTATTCTCCAAACGATTTTCTTTCATGTATACCATCTTAAAGATGACATACAGCTAAGTCTAAGGCAAATCCCCGAACAGTCATGTTAATGCTCGGATGTTTCCAGAGATGGCCCTGTCTCCGGCTCCTCCCTACACGTGCACGAGCGTCTGCTCTCTGTGTTATGGGTGGTCGGCAGCGGCTCCTTAGCGACGCTTTGTTCTTCCTACACGCACACGGGCTCCGCGCTCCGCGTTATGGTTAACAGGCTAGCTAGGGCTGGAGACTCAGCTACACACTAACTGGCCGGACGTTTTGTATTAAATATAAATATATCTTCACACCAACTGATCGTCGAGCTGCAGACGCTATTTCATCACCATTGCTGATTCTTCTCTGGAGTTCATATATTTTTATATCATGTACTACCCGTTCTACATATTTATTGCAGGATCATCGTCCAGGTGATCGGACCACCTGGTGCTCGGACTTCTTCACCGATCAATTGGTCGAACCGCTGGTTCATAGACTTCGTCGCCGACCAGTTGATCGGACTGTTCGTCGGTCGCTTCTACTCAATGCTTACTTCGCCGTGGACCAGTTGACCGGACTGTTCGTCACTCGTGCTTCATCATCAGCTACGTCGGGGACTCCTAGGTGCTCGGACATCGTTAGCTACGTCGGGGACTCGGTGCTCGGACATCGCCAGCTACGCCGGGGACTCCTCGGTGCTCGGACATCGCCAGCTACGTCGGGGATTCCTCGGTGTTCGGATTTTTCGTGCAAGCATCGCCAGCTAAGCTAAGGACTCCCTTGGTGGTCGGATCTTGCTACGTCTCATCGGTGTGCTATCAAGCTGCTCCAAGCTATTCGGATCAGGGTGCTGATCTTGGGCAGCACGTCTGGGGTCTTGATACGCGCATGTCAGATGACGTCGGCAAGCTTTCAGACTTCTTTTCTTTGACCCTGCTACAAGATTCATTCTTCATCTTCCAGCAAGCTCGGGGACTAAGTGGCTACACTTCACCTGACGGTGAATGTAGTGCTTATTTCTTGATTTACCCTTCTTATTGATGGAGTCTAAGTGGCTACACTTCTTCTAAGTGGAAGAATTTTTAGAATTTTCAGATTTTGAACTTGAGCTCCTTACATCCTTATGGCAAGCCTTACTTGGGATACACTGCTCGACGATGGTTCACACTGCTCGGCGACGGTTCACAATTGTTCGGTGGCGGTTCACAACTGCTCAGCAACTCATCGTGGTGGTCGGACCATGAGTCTGACTGCTCGGCTTTGTTCGCACCTGCTCAGACAAGCTCAAGACGACGTTGCACAACGGATACAAGGCACTCGGGGACTAGCTGTGGGGGATATGACCCCTGGTATGCATAAGACAAGACATGAGCCGCACCATCAGAGGTGGCACAGCCCACAAGATTAAGGCGTGCACGGCACTGGTCGACGTGTACCATAAGATATTGTATAGTACCAAAAAGAATACTTTCCTTGTAACCCTATCCCTCCAGAGTATATAAGGAGAGGCAGGGGTCCCCTAGTCGACATCTACATACATCTCATATTCAATACAATACACCAAAGACACAGGACGTAGGGTATTACGTCGATCAGACGGCCAGAGCCTGTCTAAATCGCTGTCTCTGCGTCTTGTGTCACCATTCGGTTCTTGATCACGTGCACCTCCATCGATCAATCTACCTTCGTGGGATACCCCTCGGAGGACTGTCGAGCATATTTTGTCGACAGAAACTGAAATTATACACCATTTGTTTGGGTAAGATGCTTGTTATCTTGTACATAGGTCTATGCCCATGCATTGCCCCGGTAGCTAAAAAAATGATGCCATATGGATTTTACTTACCCATTTTCTTTTAAAAACATTCAACTTTCAAAGTGAAAAGGCAGGCTCCATTTCTACTAAAATGGAGAACAAAACTTCAGAACAAAGATTGATAAGAAAACCAACCGGTGCCTGAGCCATCAAGATCTCAATCTGGTTCAAGAAATGATGTTCCCCTGCCCCCTGATCCTCGCCCTGATCTGAATTGAAAATCCAATGCTATCAGAGTGAAGTATCCACATGTTTTTTTCAAAGAAAATTGATACAGAATGAAGTATGGTTGGCTTACATCTAAGAATACCGGAATGCTTGTTCACAACACCAAATCTTATCATTGTCCATCATACCCATGGTCCATGGATTTGAGCCTTTGTCGTTTCGTCTTTCATATCTAAGATGGCTCCTTATAGTATGGGACTATAAAACATATGTATTAGCATGAACCAACTAATATGATCAAACTAATGTTCATGGGAAAAAAGGTTTTCGACTAATAGTTGTGTTCCAATCTTCAAATCGTTCTCTACTTCTCTTTAACCACCAGAAACTTGTAACCTTAAAAAGATTTCACTCCACCATGTCTCAAAGATCTGCAATGCAAGTTGCGTGACCACTGACAACTATATTTTAAAAGAGTAAATGTTTCTTCAAAATGATCTCATGCATTTGAAAATGGTCACCAATAAAAAATTCTAACATCTCTTACAAGGATGCATATATGAACAAATTGAATTCTTCTTGTGGAATTCTGCTATGGCACGGTTGCGAAAAAAATTTCATAATCTGCATGATTAACTGGAAGTGAGAACATTTATCAGGGAGCTTATGGTTTTGATATTCTTCAGACTCATACTCATTTTCATTTACCACAATTACATTAGAACCTAATATGAATGCTAATTTCATTTACACAATTATACTAGAACCTAATATGAATGCTAACCAAAGGAAGTTGACTGCTGGCCCTGTTCATCAAAAGAAAAAATGTGTTAGTTGACAGGCTAGTTTATAAAGCTGCCAGGTTTACCTGACTTTAGGAAGAAAATAGTATCGTGCCAAATTCTGAACATTAGAGTTCTTGATAACCAAGGTCATCCTAAAGGCGTGGATTATAATCATTTTGTGAGGGTGTGTACGGCATGGGTGTTTGTAGGGACTCTTGCCCCTTTTCCCCTTCTATAATATAATGGTACCAGCTCTCTTGTATGTTCAAAAAAAAGAGAAAACAATACTTGCACAAATATTTGGTAGAAAGATCCGGGGATAAAGGAAGCATACATTAATACAAAAGTACGTACATGCTGGTGGCAGCCAGTGGCCCAAAGTTGTAATCAGTAGCATGCTAATGTCACCAATCACTTATGGTGTGTTTGCTTTGTGGAGTCACCCCATGCTTCATGAGGTGATGCATCATGAGTTCATCCCATGAATTTGGTGGAATCAACTCATTCATCATGCATATACTAATTATTAGTTTATGAGAAATGAGGTGGTGATGGATCAACTTATTTCATTCCACAAACCAAATACCAAAAGTGAGGAGTGAGAAGATAATGGACCACCTCATTTCTCAAACCAAACAAACCCTTAGTTTCAAACTTGCACTATACTACAATTCTCTGGTGTGTATATGGTATTAGCTTTCATTTTGCAACCTCCTTTAACTTTCAATTTGCCATTACTAAAAAAAAACTTTCAATTGCAATGCACGGCTCCCTCATGTATCCGCCTGCATTTATAATGAGGTCAAAATGAACATAAACAGTTATGAATGGCTGTAATTTGTACCTGTTTGTGAAATAGTTGCACGGGTAAAAAAAAACATCTCTTGCTCATCAGTGCTTTAGGCAATATATGGTATTACCATATCAGCTTGCTTTAATTTAAATAGCAATTAAACCTTGTTGAGTGTATTTGTATTATTTGTGGACAGCTGATGCCTCTTTTATGAATGAAGAGGACTGAAACGGGTAGTATCAATCCATTCCATTTGCATTTTTCTCCACATCTACCGGTGCCTAGCACACGAAGGAGCTAGCTAGGCACACACGGCACTCCTGTGAGACCCAATGAGGATGTAGTGACATATGTTGATACATAAAAAACCGACAATTTTTAACAATGACAGGTTTTTTAAAACATAGTTTAGGCTCTTTGGAACGCAGGAAATTTTCCTGTCATAAAGGTGAGGCCGGACCCCTTGAGTTTCTCCTGAACGATGCAATCCAACCTGTGTGCCATCTCCTGCGTCAGGTAGTTCTCCCAGTCTCCTAAGTCCTACCTTGCCACTCCGAAACCACAAGGAATTCTTGACGGGATTAGCGACGGCAGCACCGATCTGACCGGACACTCCATGCGTGTTCACAGCTAGATCCTTCAGGTTCTGGAAGCTGCACAGCCTCACCACTTCCTCCACGACTCCGCCGCTCTCCTCTTCCTCGGTGAACGGAACGCCCAGGAACTCGGCGAGCGTCCTGACATGCTTGGCAGGCTGCGCCATCATCTCCTCGTACTTGAGGAAGAGAACCCTGCTACTGCTAGGGTTTTTCTTGCTCAGCTTCCAGTACTCCAGGTAGTGCTCCCAGACAGGCCCACAGACCGAGACCCCCTCGCAGAACAGCTCGAAGGCCTTGTCGAAATCCACGAGGGACTCGTGGCTCAGGGTCCGGACGTGGTGCCAATAGGACACGAACACGTCCTTGGGCTCTCGGCACAGGTAGACGGCGCGGGAGCTCGTCATCAACATGCCCGGCGGCAGCAGCGCGGGCGGGAGATGCGTGCACAGGAGCCTCGGGGAAGGGACCGCCTCGAGCTCCGCGACCGGGCGGAGGGTCCGGTCAGGCAGCTCGAGGAACGGCACGAGGTCGATCGTGAGGGTTGCTGCTGAGCAGCGGGTGGTGGTGGTCGTCACCGGCGCCGGTGATGATGACCGGATGGCGGGAGTGGTTGATGAGCGCGAAGGCGAGAGCCTTGAGCCAGGTGGTGCCGGACTTGGGGAACGTGGCGAGGAGGACGTCGTCGGGGCGCGGCTTGAACTCGGCTTGCATGAGCTCGACGCTCCTAGCGAGTCGCGCCGTGAGCCAGCAGCCGTGCAGACGGAAGAGCGGCGCGGCCCACCACCCTTCCCTCGTAGGAAGGGTGGATATGATGACGCTGCTGCTGTCGTCGCCTCCTTTCTCGGAGCCGCCGCCGCTTGGTTGGGTCTGGAACAGTTGAGGTGTTGTATCAGCCATGGCGGCGAATGTGCCAGGTGGCCGGTGGATTGGTGGAGGATGATGTGGTCTCTGGGCGTTTGGCAGCTGCTGAGGTTGGGTTCAATACATATATATTGCTCCATCAGGTGTATCACGTGATGTTGACGCTCCACCAGCTACAGCTACCGACGCCTATAGATGGAGCAGATCTAGCACGCAGGCACCTCTAGGTTCTTACTGTCACCGGCCCTGGCCAGGTGCATGCATGTAAAGATTTCCAAACGGGCCGGTTGAAACGGGCTGGCACGAGCCCGGTGCGAAAAAACCCGTGCCTGGCCCGGCCCGGTGCCGTGCCCGTGCCTGGGCCGAGGAGTCGGCCCGTAGTGCCGGCCCGGGCACGGCCCGTTCCAACGTGCGGCACGGCTCTGGGGCGCCTGCGGGGCTGCGGTATATAAGCCACCCGCCGCGGCCGCCCCCCCCATCCAAACCCTAGCTCATTTCGCCTGCTCTCGTCTCCCTCGCGCCGCTCTCGTCTCGCTCGTCGCTCTCGCCCGCTGTCGTCTCGCTCCTCGCTCTCACCCGTTCGCCTGATCGTCGCCTCGTTCCCCTGCTCCGCCGTGTCCATGGCGTTCTCCGGCGGGTAAGGGGTCAGATCCGGTGGGTTCCGTCCTCAATCTCTCTGCTTTCCCTCTCTGCCCTCAATCTCTCTCTTCTCTCTTAGATCTGGTGGTTCCCGCCTTCAATCTCCATATGTTCCCTTGTTCTTCATCCCTGAAAGTCGATTGAGACTCATTCTTAGCATCCTCGACGCATCTCCGTCTTCTGTCTGTCGTTCTCATCGTCGGCCGCCGCCACCTCCGGGGCTCCGGTCTCCGTTGAGGTACCGGGGGTGTGCATCCGGTCCATCTCATCGTCGTTTCTGGTGCTCCGGCTCTAGAGGTAAGGGTAATCCCCTACCCTAATCCCCTACCCTAACCCTAATCCCCTACCCTAACCCTAATCCCCTACCCTAACCATCTTTTTCTGTTGTTGATTGATGCAGCCGTCGAGGAACCAGAGACGGCAAAGATGGCCCTAGGCGTAGGCGACGCCGGTGAAGGGGAGTTTGATCACTCCTAGAACGACGAGCTGCGGATGTGCGGGTTAGCCGGGGATGATGAGGAGGACGATGTCCGCGAGGACTGCGCCGAGCTCTTTGGGCGGTCTGCTGCTGATCCCCTTCCCTGTGACCAAGATGCGGTCCCGGTCCACGAGGAAGGGGCCGATCCCGATGCCGACGGTGGCGACAGTGAGGTGGCAGGCTCCAATCGGCCTTCTACCTCTGCTGTCTGGGATGATTTTGAGAAGCACTTCAAGAAGGTGCCAGGTAAGGCGAGACCCGTCAGATATGCTGCCACTTGCAAACATTGCAAGAAACAATACTCTGCTTATTCTGCTAATGGCACTGGACATCTTACTCGACATCTTAAGGTTTGTGTTAAGCGTCGTGAGAAATGTCGCATGTCTCAAACTCAAATTGGTTTTAATCCTGATGGTTCTGTTCGTCGCTGGGAGTACAATACTGATGTAGCTCGTGTTGAGCTTGTTCGTATGCTTGCTAGGATAGATTTACCTTTACTGATTGGTGAAACTGATGCCTTTAAAGATTACATTAAAACTGCTCATAACCTTGCCTTTGCACCTGTCTCTAAGCAAACTACTGGTAGAGATCTGTTTAAGCACTTCAATGGTAAACATGAAAAATTAATGACTTGTTTGCAAGACAATGTTGTTTCATCTGTTGTTGTTACCTCTGATATTTGGTCTGGAAATGCCAAAGAAGATTATCTGTCTGTTGTGGCTCATTTCATTAATGCTGATTGGCAATTAGAGAAAAGGGTGCTTGGTTTAAGGTTGATTGATGTCTCCCATAATGCTGAAAACATTGCTGAGCGTGTTAAAACTGTCCTTGATGAGTATGGTATACTTAACAAGGTTTTTTCTGTGACTTTGGATAATGCATCTGCCAATAAAAATGCAATGGATAAACTAAAACCTATACTTAAAGAGTATTTAGGTGCTGATCTATTTTTGCATCAACGATGTGCTTGTCATATTATTAACCTGATTGTTAAGAAAGCATTGGCTGCTGTTAATCCTCTCATTGACAACTTTAGAACTGCAATCTCTTTTTTGAACTCCTCTAATCAAAGAATTACTGCATACAAGAGTTATTGCATTGCTAGCAGTGTTAGACCTAGGAAGTTCTCACTGGACATGGATGTTAGGTGGAACTCCACCTACCTTATGCTGAAAACATTGTTACCTCACAGGAGTACTTTCAGTACTTTCATTGAGGCTAATTACCCTAGACCTGCAGGTAGTCCTTTCCTGTTGACTGATGATCACTGGGATATGGCAACTAAGATGTTGCAATTTCTTGAACTGTTTTATGACTCTACTGTTGCTTTATCTGGTGTGTACTATCCTACTTCTCCACTTATGATTCATCATATTGTTAAGATTGTTGTTCACCTGCATAAATATCAACATGATGAACATCTGAGATCTATTGTGCAGTCTATGATTGACAAATATAATAAGTACTGGAAGAACATACCTGATCTTCATTCCATTGCATTCATACTAAATCCAAGAGCTAAGATTAAGGGCTTTACCAAAGTGCGTAGAAAGTTGAATTCTCTTTTTAATGTTGATTACACTAACAAGTTGCTGGACACTAGAGCTCTTCTTTTTAGAATGTACAACAGGTATGATGCAATGTATGGCCCTGTTAGGCTCAAAAGGGTTGTTCCTGCATCCCTTTCTGGTAAAAAAAGAACAGCTTGGGCTGACATTTATGATGATGATGAGCTTGACATTGGAGCTGGCTGTTCTTCCCTCCCTCCTAATCTTGATCAGTCCAGGGGTGTTTCTGCCACTTCTTTGCTACAAGCAGCTTCTGCTTCTAACTCTAGTGAGCTTGCATCCTACCTGGACTCTGACACAGTCAGCCAGTTAGATGATGATTTTGACCTCAAGCAATGGTGGCATGAGCACAAGCTTACTTATCCTGTGCTTTCTATTCTTGCAAAAGATATTTTTACTGTGCCTGTGTCAACTATTTCTTTAGAATCTACCTTTAGTACTACTGGCAGGATCATCGAGGAGCGTCGCCGGAGGCTGAACCCTGAGACTATGGAGGCACTAACCTGCATCAAGGACTGGGAGAATGCTGAATCAAGACTGCAGCACATGGTGGAGGATAAGGAGCTGGAAGAGGCCTTTGAAGCACTTTATCTTGATGTTGATTAAGTTCCCCATTTATATAATGGTTCTGTAATAGCTATTAAGACTTGGACATACTGGAGGCTGGATGTAATGAACTTATGAACAATCTTAGGAGCTGGCTATACTCTTTTCCCGTTTAGGGTTTCTCACAAGAGTGAGTTTTACCTAAACAGGTTTTTAATGAGGCAGCCATTGCACAGCTCCTACTTTAATTAGTTTTAGTTTCAAAACTTGCCTGTGTTCTTTGCTGTTCTTTGCTCTTTGCTGTTTTTTGCTGGTATTGTCTGATGTTTTTGATGAGTTAGAAGTTATCTATGTGAACTTATGATTTGAATGAATGTTTTTGTAATTTCAGTGTCAGGGCCGACACGGAGCACGCTGGGCTGCCGTGCCGACACGGCACGCCAGGCACGATCCAGCAAGTTTAGTGCCGTGCCTAGGCCTGAACTCTAGCACGGTGGCACGGCATGGCACGGCACGCCTCATCAACCGTGCCTGCCGTGCCGTGCCTAGGCGGGCTAGGGCCGTGTAGTGTCGTGCCGGCACGTTTGGAAATCATTACATGCATGCATCGAGGAATGAGGAAGGAACCATGCATGCAAGGGGGAGTAGGGCGAGCTACTCTCGTCTCTTTTCACTGGGCATGTCCTGATGAGTGAATGAGGGATGAATGATGATGAACAAAATGTGTAGTCAGAGGATTAGAATGGTGTGTGACTCCAATGTAGGTGTAACGATTAGAAAACTGCCCGCTTGCATTGTGAGTTGCTATATTTGAGCGGCATTATACTCCATTTGTTCCAAATTATGGGACGTGCTGGCGCCCGGACGTCTGACGGAATAGGATTCCATCAAACGACCGTTTTCAGCGCACGCCTACACAGCCTGTCCCCCATCCGCTAATTCGCCTTGCCTGCATACGCATCGCGCCGGCGTAGCATCCGTACGACTCGTTCACAATCCGCCCCGTCGGCCTCGATTCGACCCGCCCCATCTAGGCACCCCGCCCCCATCCGTTTGTCCCGTCCCGCAGGCGCACCCCACCCTGTCATGCCCCCGACCGTAGGCCCCAACGCGTCGTGCATCACGTCTGCCGGCCATCAGCTCACCGCGCCCCATTCCCCAGCGCCCGTGACATGCCACCATCACTCCCCCGTACCCCTTGACTCTCCGAACAACATAAAACAAGTGCAACATAAACACTTGAATGTAATATACGTCTAAAACAGATAAAATATCTGGAACATACACTTGCAACATATCTATACTATAAAGGAGCAAAGGAATTAGAAAATATCGTATGTGTAAAAACATATGCAATATCCAGATAAAACACTTGCAAACTTACAACATGAAAACTTGCTGCAACAAAAGACTTGAACAAATGAAACATTTGGAGCATACTGTTGCAATATATGTGTGAAGCATATACAACTTCCAAATCAAAACGCTTGGAACATACGTCTGGAACAAATGAAATATTTTGAACAAACTCTTGCAACATGTCTCTGAAACATTTGCAACATATGCAACATCCCCGATCTACATTTGCAACGTCCATATAAAACAACTGCAACATACCTCTGAAACGTCTGAAACACTTGAAACATATATTTGCAACATAGGGGAGGAAGAGCGCCTATGCCGGTCAATCCTGTCCGTCGAGGTGGAAGCCGGCGGTGAGTGGCGGCGCGCGAGCACCACTGGCATCTAGCACCAGTGGTGCGCGCGAGCATCACCGCCAACAGCGCCACCAGCACCGGGTTTGGGTTGGCCGAGCGGGCGGCGTGCACGATGGGCGGAGCGAGCACCACCAGCACCAGCGCGCGATGGGAGGAGGCGAGAGGCACGCGCTACGCCATCATCCATACATATTAAACCGAATGCCATCATCCATACATATCCAAACGCACACATCATATGGCATATATATATCCTAGCTAGCCTTTTTGACGACACAGATAAGTAGATCGATTAAGCCTAGCTACTTGCTCATGTTTATCTAGCTAGCTAATAACTAAAGTCGTGGGCGATGAATGGAATAATCGATCACGAGAAGAACTTGTAGGTGGAGGCGTTGACGATGATCGAACGGAGACCACCAATGGGTGCAAACACCGTTAGGAGAACGCCAACTATGATACAACACTGCAGGTCAAAGACATACCATTTATTTATTAGCAAACATCAATGATTTCCCAAATTGCAGGCATGAATCATATATGTAAATACAGGTAAAAGAAGAAGAAAAAAAAATTATGAAATAAGTAATGACTCACCCAGGTGATGAAGAACCAGGAGAGGCTAAACGTCTTTGGCTTCTTAATCTTGAGCCACAGGATGCAGGGAAGCTGTTCAATTGTAGTAGCGTCGGTTCAGTCAAATTAGTAGTACATCAACAACTTGCATTGCTACTATAATACATACATACATACATACAAAGATCTCATAATTGAAAGAAAAATTGTCAAGGATCTCTCACATAGTAGGTTGTCGGTGCAAATGCGAAACCACCAAAGAACCCCAGCAACCCCCCGAAGAACGGCACGGCGATGCCAACCAGAGTTGTGAACACTGCACGTACAACACAAGATGCATGGAGCAACAAATAAATGATGAACAACACAATATAATACGTCAATTAATAGGTTTTCTTAGACACTAGCGACTATGCATGTAATCAGATCAGATAATAAATGCATTGGATATATAAGTACTTACCAACATAGAGTGAGCGCGCTATCAAACGGAGAGGCAGACCTGGCCTGAACCGGAGTTTCTTCACTAGGAACGTCTCGAGCATGTCGAACACGGGCATGGCGTAGATCTATTATAGATGTATCTCGATCAGAAATGTAATCAATCAATGAATCAATGCAATAATACATATGAGATTATAGGTGATCGACGGCGGGCCAGCAGGGACCTAGCTATCGGACCTGGTAGCTGCCGATGACGTGGACCACGACGAAGATGTTTGCCATGGCGATGAGCCAGCGTGGCTTCTCAAGTGTGATGAGGATGTTGTCGTCAACGGCATTGCCGAAGATATAGTAGCCGATGAACGCCACGGGGAGGTAGCAGATGGCGACGACGATGTAGGCGAGGACGACGCCCTGCCACATGGGCTTCTTGGACGGCTTGTCGGGCGTGGACGGGATGGTGGCTTGGATCTCCAGCACCACGTTGTGGCCCGCATACGCGAACGCCACATCCCCCAGCGCGCTCAGGAAGTTGAACGTCTGCCCCGTCGCCGTCGACGCCTTCTTGCTGTAGTCCACGTCTGCGTGCCGCCCCTTGTGGGACGATGCTGCCCATGCAATGGTCGAATAGCTGCATACTGTGGTGGAGCACGACCCCAAACCCTAGATTTTACCGGCGCCGCTGCAGGTCCCCTCGCGGGAGCGCGCGCACGGCGGCGAGCACAGCTCGGCTTCTCCCCACGCGCCGGCGAGGCGGCGGCGGAGCTCCTTCCCGCGCGGCGGAGAGTCCGGGTAGGTCCTCCCCTCCTTCGTCCTTACTTTAGGGTTAGGGTTTCGGGTTGGGGTCCGATCCTTTTTTGCAAATCGAATCCCTCCTTCTACTCTTCTATTCGGTTTTCTACCCCGATGAGCTAGATCTACGCGTAGTTAGGCCATTGATACCATTGATAGAATAATAGGATCATATAGCCATAAATCTAGCATACATACTTACTTCTGATTGAATAGCATACCCTAGAACATGCTAGTGCGTGAAACAGAGAGAAAGAGAGAGGGGTTGCAGAGGTGCAAACCATCGGCCGCCTTCGTAGAGGACGAGCTTGCCATGGGGGGCTTGTCAGTGGCGCGGTGAGGTCCGGCAGTGAAGTCACAGACGTAGTGGCGGAGGTGCAGAGGCGGCGGTGGCCGGTGGCGGTCTTCCCGTCGCTGGCGACGCCCCTCACTAGATCAGCTTAGGGTTTAGGGACTGTAGGTGGGGCGTCTGGCGGCTCAGGTGATTCACGTGCCTTGTGCCCCGGCCCTTACCTCCCTTTTTATGGCGCTGTGCGATGGGGTCCACCAACCATGGAGCGGTTGGCCGCCTCCGACCAGGGCGCGAATGCAAGGGCCCAATTGACCGGCCAATTGATGGAGATCAATCTAACACCAAGAGCTTTGTTTTGTAGTAATCGCAGGCATCAAAGTCTGGTTATACAATGTGCCAAGTAGTCTAAACTAATCAATCATGCTTGATCATCTCTCTTCTAGGCCCTTCGGGCAAAGCACTAGCTTTTGTTGACTGGTATTGCAATGCGCGGGTACATCACAAGCTTTTTTTAATCACATTGCGGCAGCGTTAGCCTAAATATTTAAACGGACTATATTTCCTCACTTTTGTGGTGGCTTATGGTCCTAGTTTGTTTTGACAGTATTTTCCAAAAGTGATCATGTTTTGATGCTACGAAACGGATGTTTCCTTCCCTGCTTTTTATCTTCTTTCTAAAACTTAATGCTCCTTTGTTCTAGTGATTATAGTATGACATAAAGCCCCATTTCTTTCCTTCTAACGTCTTTTACTAAGCAATGTCTGGATTGTTTCAATTCAGGTTAGGCTGGATCCTTCTAGACCCTTGAGCCGACATAAACATTGGGTCGTTGCTGAAGTTCTGCGCAGAGCCAAGGTGTATGTACCACCATCTGCCACAGCTTCCGGTGAACATGGTAGCAAGAGTGAGCAGGCTGGCGTTGGTACCAAATCATCTGCCTGAAGTTCGTCAGAGGCAAAGGCACAGTTGCTCATTTGCTCGTTGTGTGTTCTTTTTCCTTGTGGATGCAATTTTAATCCATGGAAGAAATAACACGGCACCTGTCAGCTTTGCTGATTTGGCACGCTGACTTATCGTTGACGAGCATTTTACTGTCGGGAAAAAAGGATGCCTAGGCTTGGTAAATATCTGCTCTGCGCCACGAGAAGAATAACAGGGTACCCGAATCAAATCACGCAGCACGAAGCTGCCAAGCTCAGCGGGCTGGAAATGTCCACTGTACATCGTTATTACTGCGAGCCTGCGAAGCGCTTCCATGTGCTATATACTGGGCTCTGCCTGTGTCCACGAGGCCAGCCCGGCGACACTTGGGCCTGCAGGGGGCCCATGGACGCGGGCCGGCCACCGACAGCGGCCCTTGGCCCAGGTCCTCCCTCCGGCCGTCTTCCGTGTCCGTATATTTGGCAATGGCATCGGCAAGCATGGCTCATGATGAGCCACACGTGCACACTGATTAGCTACCTAGCTGTGCTGCTAGTCTTTTTGCATGCATTGCCTACCTTTTAATTTCTGATGATGGTGGTCGATGATGATACTTGATACCTTATTATTACCAGCCTTTAACTTGAACTCCGTCGTCATGATGACACGGCCATAATTAATCTCTCTCGCGCGCGCGAGTGCCCAACGTACAAATTAACGTCGAGTATCTTTCTTATTGGGAACTTGATGCTTACACGTAGACGGAGCTACCATATACCACATACATGCATGCACACACAAATGAAAAATGATACCATTTCATCAATTAAAAAACCACTCTAAAAATGATGCCATTTCACCATCGCATCACGCACAATTGATGCCGTTTCGCCGTCACGCAGCTAGCACACACATCAACCATCTGTTTTTTTTCTTTATATATATGTCGATGCGTACGTACCGTCTCCATCGAGACATAAGTTATATCGCCGGTTCAGGTTTGACCTAGCTAAAGGACTCCAGGAATATAATCAAGAATGCATTGGTCGTCACTCACACATCCACCATAAGTGTATATGCAACAACAACTACTTGAATAATTAATTGTTGTTCATATGATATGCATTCGTGGTTGAAGCATCTTTTTTTGGGCCCTCACATGCATATGCATGCATTCATGATTCATGGCCGTTGATCCATATCGTCCACGAACGATATTAGTAGTAGTTAGTCGACGACGACGTCGACATAATACCAGAAGCGTATATACCCGTGTGTTGCTGCAAGGATGAATTTTGGTGCATGGATGGTGCATTATGCTAACGTGGACAAATAAATGTATATTTGTGGATGATGTGATTTATTGTTGATATGGATAGGTTGCATAAATTAATGTTCCATATAAAAATTGGATGTGATAGTGGGACGTCAATTTGAATGACTTACATGTCGAGATAAAATTGTAGTCGGATTTAAGATTACGAGAGATAGAGATATCATTCGGTGGAACAGGTCTGTGCCTCAGGCTCACTCGACTCGGACTGCAACAACAATTTGGAATAGTATCGTTCAGACTTCGCTCACCAGATTGTCATTTAGGGCCTCTTTGGCACGGCTTATGCCGGCTTTAGCTTCATCTATTTTGCGCAAATCGAGGCATTGTAGCGTGAAGCCGTTTTGTAAGCCGGGGTTAAAATGAACTAGAAGCCGGGAAAAACCAGTTTTTCTGGCTTCACCGGCTTTGGCTTCACCGGTGAAGCCGTTTTGGATGAGCCGTGCCAAAGGGGGCTTTAGACTTCGCTCACTGGCACTAGAGAGAAACGCCGGGGACCCTTCTGCCTCGGCCTTGGGAAACTTGATTCCGGCAGCCTTTATCGTCTTTTGCAGTCCAGGAATGCGCCACCATACCCTGCTGCCAAGTTCATCTGGAATAGTCATGCTCATCCAAGAGTCCAATTCTTCGTTTGGTTACTCGTGCATGACAGAATTCAGTGTAGAGCAAGTCTCTTCAGGAAAACTATCGTCGACTCGCCTGTTTGTGAGATATGCAATCTAGCTGACGAGACAAGCACACACATAGTCTTTGGCTGCCGCTTTGCTGAAGAATTCTGGGTGAAACTGGGAATCCAACCGGCGCAGTCAGCAAATGATGGGTGCCTCTTCAACTTGACAAGTCCAAACCACTTCCCAAGTAAGCACTTGAGCACTTTCGTCTCCCTGTGTTACTGGAACTTGTGCAAACGTAGGAATGGAATCATTTTTAGAAATGAGGCACTCACACATCAACAGGTGTTTCGTCTCATTCACAATGAAGCCCAGACTGCCAAAGAGAGACAAATTGATCGCTGATGCCTGGTGTAAGTGTAACATTCTGTTATCAAACATGTAGCCTAATACAATGATGATGATGATGTAAAAGTTGTAATTTTCGAACCATGATGGGTCCACTGGATCTAGATAAAAAAAATCACTCGGCTGACTAGCAGCTGCAGCTCGATCGTAACCTCCAGAAAGGAAGGATGGATGGATGGACAGCCAGCAGGACAGGTCACAGCCAGAACAAGTTTTGACGATCCGTCCTGGCTCCTGGGTCAGGGTGGGTCGGTTGCTTGCCCGTCTCGGCATTTAGTGCTCCCGTGACTCCACGACGGCGACACTAGCTAGCTTCCATTGAACGTATGTTGTACGTACGTGCGGACGTGCCGGCCCATGCCGCCCATCGTCCCATCGTACGTACGTACGCGTATCTCAGTGGAACTGCACACATGAGCTAGGCACTACTACCATGCATGCGCGGCCCTGCTTTCTTGGCCGCGCGCGCGTCTGCCTCTGATGCCATGGACACACGCAGCACTCCACGACAGCTTTTGGCTTTCGGCTTTCACCCTACCCCGTGCCTAGCTCTAGCTTTCGCCCCTCATCTCCGGGCCGCCGGCCGGTACGGCACCGTCGGTCCAACCATCCCATCCCTGTCGTCATTTTCGTCCCGACAGAGCGACCTCTGGCCCGCTTGCATTGTCCAATCATTCCTCACCGCAACTATCCCAGTTTCGATGACCCAATTCTCTAGAAAACAATGGCGCACTGTACACGAGTCGGTTTTACTTCAGCAAACAATGGCGCACTGTACACGAGTCGGTTTTACTTCAGCAAACGAATAGCGTTGTTTTCCTCTTATAATAAATCAGCGTATACACCCGCATAAGCTAAATTTTAGCGAAACAAACAGAGTAGTTTCCTTGTCTAAAAAAACAACCCGGCCGGCCGGTACGGTAGCTTAGCTTAGTCGTCGCGTGTCAACTCAACCGCACCACGCCACGCACTTTCGGTACACCAACACCAAACCGCTCAGAATCGCAACGGATTCACTCACGTAGGCAGGCGTGGACTATCAATCCGGAGCAGCGACGGCACAGCGGTGGTTACATTGCAACCGCAGCAAGCTGTTACGACGATCGAGCTGCTTGCATGGTGGGTGGCCCCCGCTCGGCCGGTGCATGCTGCAGGTACTGGTAGCAACTCCCAACCTAATCGTCATCGCATCGCCAGCCACCTAATGACACCCAGCATGCAGATGCAGTCCCCTCACCTCTAGGGAGTAGGGACGACTCCTCGCTAACCCCTCGTCGCTTTCTTTCAGGCAGCAGAACGCGCGTCATACATTACTGAGATCCGCTACGGGTCGCCGTCCTGATTTTTTTTTATTTTTAACACTTTTTTAAACTAATTTTAAATTTAACACTGTTTTTTTCTTTCAAAAGTAACATTTTTGGCCACGTCTATTGCCATGGCGCGGCTACATGGTGACGCGGCGGGAGGATGACATGGCGACGACGTGGCAGGGTCTGCCGCGCCACCCATCTTGACGCGACTGTGACGCACCAGCGCTGGTGGCACGGCAAGGCCCAGTAAAAGCCCGCAACGCCTCCACTGCGCCCGCCCTCGCCCTCAACCCCACCGCACGCCGCCGCCGCCGCCGTCCGGCAGCCGACCAACAGGTGCCGCCGCCTCACGTGCTCCGCGCCAGTGTTGAGGCGCCAGCGGCCATCTCCTTCGGCTTGGGTGACCCCAAAAGGTCCCCGCTCATATCAAGGTAGCTCCCTCTCTCAATTTCTTGTTATTATGAATGTTATTTTAGTTAAGGTTAGTGATTTAGGATAGTTAGGGTTAGTGATTTAGTATAGTTAGGTTAGTGAATTTGTTTATTTAGGTAGATAGTTTTTAGACTTTAGGTTGTGTGTTGTAGTATAGTTAAGGTTTGGTTAGGTAGTTAGGGTTTAGGTTACTGTTAGTTAGGACTCCCGGTTGTTCACTTTTGGGTTACTGTTAGTTAGGGTTTTGGTTACTGTTACGCTATGAGAGGATATGACGAAGACATGTACGGAGGGGGAGCCTTCAACGAGACCCATGGCAGAAATCTTTGCTCCGTTTGCAAAGAACCTGGTCACAAGGCTAGCAGGCATAGAAGACAAGGGCAACATGTCCATACATAGAAGTTGCTTATTTTTCTAGTGAAGTTGTTTAATATGTCTGTTAATGTTACTTTGAATATATACATGTGCTTTCACATTATGTTCGTATTGCATAACAAGTAGTTCAAATTTTACAATGCTACATAATGTTAATTTGAATATTGTTAATTTGAATACTCTAACCCTTTGTTTATCAATTTGTAACAGGATGGCCCCTCCCACGCAGCACCAGTTGTACCCCCTTCTTGATGTGGAGTACGACGAGCCGTACCGAGCACACTTCTTGACTGACACCGACACAGAGGTGCCCTTGCCTCCTTGAGGCCCCACACGCACACCAGGATGCACTAGTGGGACAAGCGTTACGCGTCGTACATACGGCGTGCCGGCTTCCTCGAGCTTGTCCGTGTTGTCAACTACGGTCTTTCGCCCCTTGACCCAGCACTACTTACTACAGCGGTAGACAGGTGAGAGTGCCTTCATTGTACGTAAACATTCTTATAACAAATTTGAGGCAACTAACAATCATTCTATTCTTATAACAGGTGGAGCCTGAGACCCACACGTTTCACCTACCTTGCAGCGAGATGACCTTGACCATGCAGGACGTGAATGCTATCTTTGGCCTTCGGTTGGGGGGACTTCCAGTGACAGGTATAGTTGACAACGATCACTGGAGGGAGCTGGTGGCTCAGTTCACAGGCTTTCTTCCACCGGACGACGAGGTTTCCAAGAAAAATAAGTGAGCAATTCAAGCCTATTTAATACTTGCATTGTTTTCCTACAGCCATCGGGTCTTATTTTCTTTGGTGAATTTCAGAAAAAGTTCTGGTGTTTCGTCGTCGTGGATCATAGAGCGCTTTGATTACTTGGACCCACAGGCTGATGAGGCTCAGATCGACAGGTTCGCTAGAATGTGGCTCTGGCACTTCCTTGGTGCTTTCCTATTCCTAGACGCCTCGGGCAACATCATCAGCTGGATCTTTCTTGACATACTACGCCAGCCGTGGGATAACATAGCGGCGTACAGCTGGGGCAGCGCAGTCCTGGCATGAACGTATCGACAGCTATGCGTTGCCTGCCGTCGCACCTTAGGGTATGCGAATCTTGGGGGTTGCTCCTACCTACTCCAGGTTTGGTGTTGGGAACGATGGCCCGTTGGGAGGCTCCTTGTTACTGGTTTACCGGTAAGTACTTCGGTTCACTATATTCTTCGAGGTAGTTACATATGATGAAATTATTAATGGCTAATTCATTATCGTGTTCAATACAATATTGGAACGGGCAGGATACACTCCCTGTACAGCTCTGTATATCTGGACGTAAGTAGAGTTAGTTAGAGGAAATGCGAGGCGCAAGTACAGGGAGTACACAGACTATCTCGATGTCCTGACACGGCACCAGGTTACGCTCTCTTTACTATCATACATGTGTCTTGTTCGATGTACACTATATCACAACCTAACTCAATTACGAAATGTTCAGGTGCATTGGTGTTCTTAGGATGCTCCGGAGCTCCAGTACTATCTGAGTCCTGTCACTAGGGATGAGTCAAACGAGTATCGCTGCAACGTCCCTCTTATTTTCTTCCACGTGGTCGAGATTCACATATCAAGCCCCCGTACACTGAGGAGGCGATTGACGAGGACGACGAGGAAGATGTGATCGAAGATGTGTACGACGTTGCCACTAGGGACGACACACAACTACAGAGAGCCCCGCTTCAAAGATACGTGGTAAGATACTCGAATGATACAATTTGTTATCCATTTGGTATTAATTATGTGTACTAAAACTGTCCAACCGCGTTTCTGTACCTAGGCGACACAATTGTTAAGGCTGTCCACTGAAGCAGCGTTTTGGCTTCAAAAGTCTAGAGGGCATGGGCCAGGCGTTCTCGAGGTTTTTGTGGAGGTAAACATAAACTTGTCCGTTCCGAAAATATTTTTTAGTGTATATGCATTTGGAAAATGCACAAACTTTAACGTCTATTTATGCAGAAAGTGAAGCGGAGCTACAGGAAGCTAGCTCAGAAGTTGAGCTGCATGGACACTCCTTGGGTGGAACCCAATTACCCGACACGGTCGGGTGGCACGTCTTCTGGCTCTTTGAGAACACCAGCCGGCTCTTCTCAGCCGGTGACAGGTGCCGCTTCCGCAATGCGTACACCACCACATTATAGCGCTGGGAAGGACCCTACAAACGAGGACGACGATGACGACGACGACCCCCTGGACTTCCACATACAGAACCACTAGTGGGACGATTGGCAGCAGGACGAGATCGGTATGTCTCAGCTAGGTGATGCCCCGCTTGGTACCCAAGGAGCCTTACAGGTAGTAACAAAGGTAGTTTCTTTAAATACGTAGGCTCCATGAACTAACAATCGTAAAGATTATAAGTAATCGTGCATATCATATACTTACAGGGTACGAGCTGTACGCACCGGCAACGTGACCACACCGACGTTGGCTACACTCCTAATGTGTTGCCTACAAATCCAAAGAGATAGAGGCGTCCGAAGGATCCTTACACTCCTAGGACTTAGTTGGTTATGTCGAACTTATGTCGAACGAATATTGTCGTCCGAAACTTGTAGACTCATCAACCAATGAAAATGTTATGTGGCAACTTGTCAACTTACGCACAAACTCCATTTATTTGATTCATATTCGTTTCAATGCGTCGCAGCAGCACTGCCGACGAGATTAACTAGCAACTAGTTCGGAAACCGGTAGTCCCGGCGTATCTCGCCGTCGGTGGCCGACGTCTTGACCCCGATCCTCCCGAGCTTGGTCATCGCCGCCATGAAATCGCCGAAGAAGGCACCCTGGTTGGACGCGTAGTAATCGACCGTGTTGCGCGACCTCATGTCGAAGTAGAGCACCTGGTCGGAGCCTAGGAGGCCCTTGCCAACCTGCAGGTTCCTGTAGAAGGCGTTGTCGAAGCCCACCGGCGAGGGGTCGAGGAAGGCGAAGGTGTTGGGGTCGGAGCTACAGGTGTCATTCAGCTGCGATGCGAAGCCGGGGTCTATGGTCGCGTCGCTGCCGATCCTCACCGACAGCAGCAATTGCAATTGAGGCTGGCCTTCTGTCTGCGTCCAGGTCCTGCCGCGCCGTGGGCCTTGGTGCGTCGTGGCGCGGCAGACCCTACCACGTCATCGGTCAGCGCCCCTGTCGTCGCCACATCATACTCCCGCCGCGCCACCATGTTGGCCGCACCATGGCAATAGGCGCGGCCAAAAGTGTTAGTTTTGGAAGAAGAAAAAATAGTGTTAGATTTAAAATTAGTTTAAAAAAATGTTAAAAATAAAAAAAAAATCGCCGTCCTCCAGCCCTCCCGCAGGTCACGCTAGCTATTCGCTAACGGCTAACCCTCTCCCCGGCCTCCTCCTCGCCGTCATCATCGTCATCGCCTCGCCATTACTGTTCGGACTCAACTCTGCTGGAGCCGGCCGGTGGGCCGTTCGCCTCTCCCTGTCCTTTTTTACATCTTTTAATTAATATATCAATATAATGATGGGGGGATTAGCAGGGGCAAGGACGACGGCAGAGGGACCCGACCCGACCCCGACGACATCGTGATGGCGGAGGAGGTGCCTGCGTTTCTCTTTATTTTCTTTCTTTATTGCCTTTCTCCTTTTCTTAATCTTTTTCCCTGATGAGCGTTGAGCGAGCCCTGGGCGTATCTTCCTGTAGGTTTCATCCCCTTTCTTTTGCATTTGGCCTCGTGCGTGGGCCACCTCAGCAGTCAGCACTCACCGGCTACCTAGCGGGCGAGCGAGCTAATCCTCCACAAATATCAGTCACCCCTAGTTTAAATGCTTAATCCTCCAATCCAACCCACGCTATTGTTATCTGCCTACCGTTCGTTAGTAGGCAGGCAGCGCTAGCTAGCATCATTAGCACACCTCCTGTTCATCGTTTCCGCTGAGCTGCCTCCACCTGCGGGCTCTTGTCCGTTTGCACGATCCTCATCGCCTCACCTTGCCTTCTTCCTCTGCAATCTGCGCACCGTTCGCAGACATCCAAGCAACAATCTTCTTCTTCTTCTTCTTCTTCTTCTTCTTCTTCTTCAGTTGGCAGCTCATGGCACGCGTCAGCAAGAGCTCATGATATATATGTGAGTCCAGTTAATTAGCTCTTAATTAGTGTTAGATGGGGATTACATGATCTTTATATCCTTATCTGAAGCTTTCCATGCACTATTTGTGTTGCCAACTTAGCTTGCTTAATTCCAGCAGTGCATGCTTCTTGGACTTCAAACTTGGTGACTGAAGCACGCAGAGTTAGCATCCATCAGCCATGGAGATGGCCAACGCCGGACGGCTAGAGGCGCTCAAGGAAAGAGGCTTCCGCGACGCAGAAACACCAAATGGGGGTCACTCATCTTTGTACCTGCAACACCGACACTCAAGAAGGTTAGCATCAAGCACTCCTTCAATCAGCGTCAGCATATATTCTGTTTTTTTTCTCTCTTCTTTTTTCAGCAAAAGTGGCCATATATTCCTTCTACAAAATTCAATTCCAGTGGTTTCCATTGACCTTTTTTCACTCCCTTGGTGTTACCGTTTTATCCTTATTTGATTGCACAAAATTAAAGTGGGCAGCATGGTTTTTTTCTTATTTTTTTTCGCGACCGGGTGTATACCCGTTTTTCATTAAGAGAAAGAGAATTTAAACCATACACAACTGAGTGCGGGGCTGTTGATTTGGTGAGTGCGGGGCTGTTGATTTGGCGAGCGGCCTCAAGCAACGTCCAGCTAAGAGTCCTACCTGACTACTGGATCCAAGGTTTGTGATTACATGCCCAAGGAATTTTGTGACCAATACAGATGAAGCGCAGCCAGAGGCGCGAAGCCCGCCAGCGCCCAGTCTTCGCCTTCCTTGATCGCCGCTCTGACGACATCGAGCACTGAAGATAGCCCTCTACCAAAGACTCGATGGAAGCTCCTAGCATCAAGGGACCACATAGCGTTTATCGCATTCATGATGTCTTGCTTGATGACCGGCCACGCAACCTTGTAGAATAGGCCGTTAACGACCTGTTCGCTTGCCCGTAAACGATCGTAAATTTTCAGCTGGGAACAGTGTTTTTCTCTCACACCAAACCAGCCAGCAGTAAATAATCCACGATACGATACGGCCTCCCGAACAGGCTGTAAATCCATCATGACCCGGGGCACGGTCGGCGGGCATCTCTCTGATGGTGTCCCAGACCTCTTGCTCGGAGAAGCAGGCATCAATGCCGGACAGATCAAGCTGTGGTAGCAAGTCTTCAAGCTCAATGGTGTGTTGTCGTTGGAACGGGGTCCCGAGGATGCCGTTGAAGTAGTCGTAGATCACCTCAGACTTAGCTTCATCGCTAGAGAACCAGACACCATTATGCGAAATCGACGGGATGTGGTTCTTGCGGTTTCTACGGCATGCCTGCAGATGGAAGAACTTGGTATTGGCGTCTCCCTCTTCTAAGAATCTCAGCCTCGAACGTTGCCGTGCGATCGTTCTTGCTAAAGATGCTAGACCCAGGCTGATTAGCTTAAGCTGCTTGCGTAGCGTCTGCTCATCGTCGGATAGCAGACGGTGCTCTTGAGCCGCGTCGAACTGGGCGATGAGCTCACGTGCCATGAACAGCTGAGAGCGGACACTGCCGATGTTCTTGATACTCCAGCTCTGTAGCGCCTTGGCTGTCTTCCTCAGCTTGTGGTCGAGGACCCTGCAAGCATCGGCACCCGGCAAGTGGCAGTCCCAGGCCTGCTTGACTGCCTCCTCGAACCCATCTAGGCGTCAACGGCAGGAACCGCGGGCTCAGCGACTGAGTGCTCCGGCGTTGGAGGCTGGCAAATCGGCGGGACGGACGGCGCCCTACCCGTTGACGCTGAACGGGCCGAGGCCGTGTCCGCTGGTGAGGCGCGACTCGGGGAGGAGCGACGCTGACGAGTGCCCCGCCTCCGACTGGGCAACCGACCAGGCGAACGTCCCCGCTTGCCCTCCCAAGCGCCAGCCGCCGGCGGCAATGGGCAGTCACGCGCCTGGTAACCAGCATCGTTGCAGTTGAAGCACCTGGACTGAGACTTACAGTCCGCCTTGACATGGTCACCGGCGAGGCAGTTGAAGCATTTTCCCACCAAGTTGGCCGGCACCGGCCGTCGCGGAGCCGCGGCACGACGCCAACGACGGCGGCTCTGCACAGGCCTAAACCCCTCCGCGTCCGGCTCCACAGACAAGCGCGGGGGATGGACGACAATGGACGCCAAGCGACGCTGCCCCGGGGAAGAAGGGCGCGGGGAACGGCGCGCATCACCCATGAAGTCCCCACGGCGCGGACGGCGACGATGACGGCGGTGCTGGCGCCGCGACCGGGCGGCCCCCTTCCCGCGGCCCGACGGGGGTTGGGCCTCGGCGTCGCTGAAGGAAGCTTCCGAGTCCGAGAAGTGCAGCCTCGCCCCGGATCCGCCCGGGGAAGCGATGAAGGTTCGGCGTCAGGGTCGAGGGAGCTCACCTGAAGCACAAGGGCAGCATGGGCGGCCGCCGCAAGCGGCGGTAGTTCGAAGGGAACGGATCCCTCCGCGCGACGGGAGGACTCCTCCGCCTCGACCTCATCCGCCCAGGAGAGGCGGGAGCACGAGCCGGGGTCCATGGGAGCCGGCGCACAGGCGGGGAGGGTTGGGGGGGTGGACGCCGAGGCCGGAGTGGCCACCGGCGGTGGAGGCTGGTGGACGCCGGTGCCGGAGTCCTACATCAAACCTCTGGTGCTCTGCTCACTTGCAGCAAGGCGATGGAGCTCACTGGCTACGATGCTAATCTAGGTTGGTGCTCATTTTTTCTTATTTCGTCCACTCTCTATTAAAAATATAAGAAAATGCTATACAACACACATGTGTTTTAGAAGAAAAAAAAATACATTAATTTTTTTACCTCTCTCTCTTTCTCACCGGTGACCACCGGCGCCGGCGCCGGCGACCGGCGAGCTCGCCCCGGCTCGCCTCCCCGCGCCCGCGCCGGCCATGGCAGTGGCGGTGGTGGCAGCGGCGGCGCCCGCGCCTACGCCCGGCGCGCCTCCCCGCGCCCGCGCCGGCCATGGCAGTGGCGGTGGCGGCAGCGAATCTGTGATTTGTCCTTTCATAGAAAAAAAAAATTTGTCTGTGATATGTTGAAGCTGGAGGCTGAAGGTAGAAGAAGGGTGGAGGCTGTTGGATCTTAATTCTATGGTGCAAAAAAATTCATGTGTTGAAACTGCATAAAACACATGGTTGTGTAGTAGACAGACTAAAAAATAAACGTTTTTTTTTTCTTTTTTTTCAATGGACCCATTTCAAGTGTTTCCTTGTGTTACAGTGCTCTGTCATTGTCTTCAGTTCACCAGATAACTTCACTTCAGGTGATATGTACTGCGAGTAATGCTGAAAGTTTCTGTTCTAGGCTTACTTGCAGCCAGAGCGCTCTTCCCTTTTCTGACAGTGAATAATAAGAATCTAGAATAGCAATACAAACAGTTCAGTTGTACTTCCAAAATCATTTTCCAGCACCGTATGTGTTGGCTACTATGTGTTGACTGAAAAAGAAAGGATCCATCTCTGCCTGCAAAACTATTCAGTTTCAGTAGCCTGCCTACCCAAGCTTTCAATTACACTGCAATTCTCTGATTCAGTGTCTTTCTAACCTCAACCAATCGTTGTATTTTCAGTGCTATGAGCACATATGTAAATGTTCCTGACGTGTCACCGCGACTCTCCGATCACATACCTGTGGGTAATCTAATTTGTCTTTGGTTCTTGCTCATACTTGTCCTGTTCATCAGACAGTACATGTAAAGATTTCTCCAGCTGCAATTCTTGCTCATACTTGTCCTTTTCCACACCATTTCATGATTGTGCAGGCAGTCAATCGCAGCAAGATGTCCGACAGAAGATATTCACTCAACCTCCCTGAACAATTCCCCGAGCATCGCATCATCACAACTGCAGAGAGAGCTGAAAGAAATATTTCAAAGGTTAGTTCTGGACACTTAACAAAATTAGTTCATGATCTCGAGGGCCTAGTTGTTTCCAAAAGCTGAATAAAAGCTGTTACAATGCAGGTCTTCCGTCCATACTTTATGAATCACGTTCCTGTTCTTAATAGTTTAGTATATCTATCCCTGATGCCAACAGAATGATGCTTTATCATATCTAGGGAGAAGTGACAAAAGTCATGAGTTATCATTATGCTTCTTTTTTTCTTAATGATGTACTACTAGTACGTGCTATAGTCAGAAACTGTGTCTCCATTCCAAATTTTGACCAGCAATTAACAAGAAAGAGAGAGAGAATAGTACAGATCCAAGTACGAATTAATTACGCCTTTTATTTATTGATTCCTGATTTTGTTTTGAATGCAGTCAGTTGCAGATTTGGCCTGGGAGATAGCTGTCCTTGAGGAGGAAGTTGTTCGCAAGGAACTGCACCTGCTGTCCTTGTACAGAGCAGCATTCGATCAGTACCTCGGTGTCTCTCCTCGTGCGTCCGCTCAGGTACAAAACTTGTCACCTGAAAATGAAACACATCAATGTTCAGATGTCATGCTGCATGCTAACGAAACAGTTATGTTATGATCAAATCAGGTGCAGCAGGAATCGCACCGTCAACACAGCAAAAGGACTACTGACGAAGGCACCCTTCGCCTGAAAAACATCAAGGAGTCTGCATCCTACAACCTGCCAACACTCTCAGATTCTAAACATGTATGAACAGCATCTCTTATCTTCGACCCATCTTTCCAGTATTTACCATCCACTTAGAAAGATCCCACAAACGACACCCCATGCCCTTTTAGCTCTGTTTTTAGTAGCTGGTTCTTCACAACAGAACAGAAAGCATCTGACACAATTCTGATGTTGCTGAAGAATACACAGGAGCTGTCAAGATCATCTTCAGGGCGGTCTAGCCTGGCCAACTTCTTGAGCGCTTCGATCGCTGAATATGTGCCCAAGATCTCGTGCACGCTTTCAGAGGACATACTAAGGTGCATTTCTGCTGTCTACTGCAAACTTGCAAGCAGGCCATTACAAGAGGCGAATTCTGAGACGGCATCCACACCTTCTTTCTCATCTGCATCGAATTCTTTTTCTCTCAAGTACCCGGTCGATGGTTGGAGCCCTCGATGCTATTACAATGTCGATGCAACCTCAGATATATATGCTTCATCTGATGGGAATAATGGGCAGTACATTGGGATGATAATTTTCCCAAAGATACATATAGATGAAGACAAATTTGATTATGCCTCTAAAATGCTCGATACTATCAGGTAAGCAACCATGCAAAAAGATTAGAACATAGGAAGGGGAAATGCTTGATTTATAGGTGCTATCTTGTATCCCAGATCGCTGATAAAACGGCTGGAGAAGATTGATCCTACAAAGATGGCACATGAAGAGCAACTCTGTTTCTGGATTAACATCCACAATGCTTTGGTTATGCATGTAAGTTCAATATTGTTAACAACTGACAACTTAAAGAATATTCAACTTTAGCCTCAGCATGATGCATAACTAACTACCCTTCTGAAATATTGCAGGCTTTCATGGCCTATGGATTACAGGAAAAACGAATGAAAAGCACTGACTTGATTTTGAAGGTATAGTTACCATACTTTTAACAAATAGTCATTTAATAATCACACGGGAATCACGTATGAATTTCTCTGACAGTGTTGAGCAATTTGTTCCAGGCTGCATATAATGTGGGTGGACATTCAGTAAATTCCCAAATTATTCAGAACTCAATTCTAGGATGTCAATCCCACCGCCCTTCACTGGTATAGCACTTGTCTATATAGAAATCAGCAGTCAGGATTTAAACAAATGAAAAAAAAAGTTTCGCATCTAATCACTAACATATTGATGGGCATGAAATTACAGTGGGTTCGCACACTATTTACACCAATGAAAAAATCAGGGAGCTCCATACATCCATATGCGCTTCGTTATTCAGAGCCAATTGCTCACTTTGCTCTTTCGACCGGAGCATTTTCAGATCCACCTGTAAGTTCCACAGCTCTTGCCAGTTTTCCAACATTCCAACCATATGTTTCTTGAGTTATAATTACTGTTAATGATCTATGCAGGTAAGGCTGTACACAGCCAAGAAATTATACCATCAACTGGAGCAAGCCAGAAGCGAGTTCATTCAAGCAAATGTTATGGTCCGGAAGCAGACCATCTTCCTACCCAAAGTTCTCCACTTCTATGAAAAGGATGCTTCCCTAGAGTTGCCTGACCTTGTTCACATAGTATGCGAGAGCATGCCTGAGCTACAGCGAAAAGAGATCAGACAATATCTTAGGAGGAGGATTGACAAGTGTGTTGAGTGGTTGCCCTACAAATCTTCTTTCAGATACACTGTGCACAGGAGTTTGGCTGAGTAGGCACTCTTTTCCTCTATATATGTGCTTGTATGTAAGTGAGGAGCCAAGATTCTAAGAACAATCTGTTGTTGCATGTGTAAAACTGTAAATAGGTAATTGTGATAGTTCTTTCTTAGAGAGGAAAATTATAGCTTATCTTAAGTCCAGTTTGTGCTTTACCACACTACTGCAAATTTGTGGATTTCAGTTGAGGATTTCAGTTGAGTGTACCGACAGAACGAAACCCACATGCTTTCATTTTGCTTGCTCTCAGAAAAAATATAGAGATTATATATACTCAAGGTCAAGGATACCAGTTGAAACTTGAAAGAGGACCTTGCATTATCAATTATCATTGCCCAAATATTCAAGAACAATACAACCTGATGGTACAAACGAAAAGATTCACCTGAGAATAAAACATACTACATTGGAACTAGAGACAAGATGAGTATCTAAACTGCAGTAACCAAACCGAATTTCATGGCAAACTTCTTCTGGTTACAGTCTAGCATCTCGCTGAGACTGCAACTCGAGTTCATCCGCTTGAGCACCTTGTGACGGTACTCCAGGCTCCTCTTGAGGCCATGGCGAAAGAACTGGGGATAATCTACCACCTCGCCCATGTCCCGTCCCATTTCTTCGACCAGGAACTTCATCCTTGGCTCCAGGCAATGTTTGACGCTCTTGATGAGAACAGGAGGGTATCCAGCTACCAATGCCGTAACCTGATTCCTGCTGAATCCACAGCTCTGCAGGAACGCTAAATTGGGCCGCAGAATCTTATCCACGTCTCGCGACAATATATCTGGGAAGCTCATGATCACCCTTTTGAGATCTTGCCCCTGTAACCCGACTGCCGACTTGAGGAACTCGGCAGTGGGACGCAGCCGCTTGTCGACGCTGTACCCCATGATGTACGGTTCCTTGGTGAGGATCTTGCCGATCATGCCTTCCTTGTCGATGCCGAGGCCGGCAAGGAAGTCGACGGTCTGCGAGAACTTGGCCTCGATGCTGTAGCTGATGAGGCGCGGGTTGACCATGAGCAGCTTGGCGAGCTGCTTCTCGGAGACGCCGAGCGTCTGGAAGAAGGCGAGGAGCGGGCAGAGCTTCTCCTCGACGCTGTGGAACAGTATCTGGGGGAACTTGGCGATGGCCTGCGCCACCTCTCCGGGCCTGGCCTGCAGCGTGGCGAGGCACTGCACCGTGGGCACGAGCTTGCTGTCCACGGACAGAGTCAGCACCTTGGGGCACTTGGCCACCACGTGCCGCAGCTTCCGCCGCTCCATCTTGACGCCCGTCAGGAGGTAGTCCCAGACGCCCGAGGCCTCGCCGGCGTCGAGGCTGTGCAGGTTCCTGCACCGCCTGGACATGCGCGCCACCGCGTCGTCGTCGAACCCGTTCTCCCGCAACCAATGCGTCAGGCTCTTCCCGCTGCCATCGCTGACGCCGCTGGCCATCGCGACCTTCTCCCCCTGTCGAAAGACCGAAACTCTGTCTGAGATTCAGACGCCACACGATGGCATGGCGCAATAACAAGAAACGAGAGAGGCGAATCGTCGAACAACACGCGCGCGCGCATGAGAGTGGTAGCCTACAACATCAGCGGCATGAATTCTGCGCACAGAATTGGGAACGAGATGCAGCACGTACGCAATGGTAGACGAAGGTAACAACAGCAATCACCTTGGTCTTGCACCAGGCCGGCGGCAGAGAGAAGATGAGGGATGCGGACGCGTAGCCGAGGAAGGAGGAGGGGAGGATCCGAGGATAAGAGAAGATGAAGAGTGGCATCAGCTAAACTGACGCTGCTTATCTGTTGCATTGCCCAACCAACCAGAAGCTGCACATCCTCAAGGCCCAATGGAAAAATAGGCCCGCAAGAACCATGGGCCAACCCATGGCTACTGCTGTGCTCAGCGCTCACCTGGCTCAACTGAACGATTCTCCTTGCGTTTTAATACAGGGACTAGAATAATACCCGTGCATTACAATGGAAAAAAACAATGATACGATAATTAAAATTTAAACATATGTCGTACTATTAAAAAAATGTTACTTAAATATAATCTTCGCAGCACTCCATTTATAACCCACATCATCAATAATATTACATGAGTTATCACGAAACATAGACTTAAAGTATAATTTAAGTTTTGATGCCGATCACCTAAGCGAGGACCGAGCAACGGCCACTGTCAAAGTCAACAGACATACACAACTTAAGGACAAAGCTACAAGCCTACAATGTACCTTCGGATTTCTTAGAATAATAACTCACAAAGACGAACGCAACAACTTAAACATAGGCAGATCACTCACAAAGACCGAATGCTACAACTTTACAACCTAGTCCGATTTGATTTGCATGAGTTGCAGTGCTTCGAAGACATCACTCCGAGCCACAGTTTCTGAAAATCTAATCGTTGCCAAGGCCTGAAAAGGAGGTCAAAACAAGACAGAAGTGCTGGAGGGAGATTTATATTTTCTGCTGGAGTTCTCATATCGCACCTTCCCCCAAATGGTTAAAGCCAATTGCCATTGTGAACTGATGTAATTTTCTTCATTATCCCTTAGCAAAAAATATATATATATTCATATCAAAATTTACCATGCTGGATTTGCAGCAGCCAGAGTTGGCAATGCTAACTGTTTTCTGCGCCATTGCCTCATGAGTAGTTGTCCTGTCTAAGTCTTCCATCTTGTCAAATTCATCTATAGCACAAATGCCCATATCTGCCAGCACTTGGAACCCAAGAGTTTGTGCTATGAGATAAATAATTAGCAAGATTGCTCAAAGTGCAAGAATTTACTATTTCGCTTTACTTTTCTAGTCAGCTCTCCTCTTATCTGAACGAACAGTCAGAGAATGAGGAATGTGGCCCTTTGGTGCTCTGCTAACTTTTGAAGCATCACCTGCAAGACAAAGTAGCTGTTTTATGGAAGTTTGGATCCAAAATTGTAGGAGCATGCACAATTCCTTCAGATATCTAAGAAAGAGTAAAGTTCATATCCGGTCCTCAAACTTGTGGCGGTGTGTCATTCCGGTCCTTAAACTTAGAAAGTGTGTCATTTCGATCCTTAAACTTTATTTGGATCCCATATTCATCCAAACGAGTATGGATCTGTACCCGTATGTAGAGACAAGACTTGATTGCTTGAAATAAAAGATTAGTGGGGCTATAAACAAAATTCCCCAGACACATAAATTAGACAAATATTTACGAACTTCTCGAGGGGTTATTTTGAAAAAAAAAATCGTCTTCTTCCTCGTTAGCCATTCCACGCGAGCTCATCCCGTCGTGGCGTCGTCGATGTCGCCGCGGCTGCCAGGCAGGCGCAGGCGAGAGCCACCGCGGCCGCGGCAGCCTAGGCACATGGGCGAGCCGCCTCCGGCACTGCTGCACAGGCGCATGCGCGACAGTAGCAGCCGCCTCTGTCGCGACGCCCTGCTGGCCAAGTTCGCCGACGACGTCATGCTCCCGGCGGGCCTGCTCCACCTCCACTTCCACACGACTGCTTGGGCACCGGGTGCGATGCCACCATCAAGCTCAAATCCCACAATGGCACTGCGCACGCGACGCCGACCCAAACTCCACGGTGCGCAGGTACAAGGCCACCAGGCCGAACTGCCACCGCCGCATAGGCGCGCGGGCGTGCAGCCGCTTCGGTCGCATAGGTGCGCCGTGCACGAGCGAGCCCCTGCTGCCGCCGCACAAGCACATGGGCCAGCCACGGTCGCCGCCGCACAGGCGCGCGGCCGTTCAGCCGCGGTCGTCGCCGCACATCCCCGCCGCGGATGCACAAGCGCGTGGGCGAGGCGCCACCACCGCCACCGCCACCGATACACGCGCAGGTTAGCCGCCGTCGCTGCTGCACAGGCGTGAGCCGCCGGTCGTCGCACGTGGAGGAAACAGCACGCCGACGAGCTAACCATGGCCATGAGAGAGGTGAGAGCTGAGAGATAGAGCTGACATGTGGACCCAGACTCGTTTGGATGAATATGAGACCCAAACAAAGTTTAAGGAGTGGAATGACACACTTTTTGAGTTGAAGGACCGGGATGACACACGTCTACAAGTTTAAGGACCGGTCATGGACTTTACTCTCTAAGAAACCTTACAAGAAACTTTTTTCCAAAAAGATAAAAGAGGCTAAGGTCATTAGCACAAATGAAGGGGTACTTCAATCTGGAGTGATGCTTTTTGATCCAACAGCTAACGGCGATCTAATGGTTCCATTCCTAGGCCAGTGACACATAGTGACAATAGCACAACTGATTAAAATATTGCAATTTGGCCAATTAACAAATACTTACTTTGAGGTCATTAATCACCACAATTGTAGGTTCTCTGTTTTTTTTCCGGTAACAAAGTCAAATGCAGATTAATGCAGCACCTTTCATGAGTGTCTAGACTTGCCGCTGCTCTCGACCCCAGATCCATCTCTGCCGTGTTTCCTGTATGTGAATGCCTCAAAGACAGAAGGAAGAAGGAAGATCACTGATCATGCTGATAATCGAATCAGAGGCCGCATCAATTATTTCACAATTTAGACAAAAAAACATTTCCTTTTCTCACAATCAGTTTTCTAGCCTTGATCTTTAATAGTATCTTATTGCTACAAACATAGAGTCAAGCGCACAACATGGCTTCAAACAGAGGAATTGCCAGCCCAAATAGAGAACTGTTTGATAGAGGGCTGTGAATAAACGTGTCTGGATATGTACAGACACAAAGAGTCCAAATGTCCAATTAGCTTTTCTGGGTAAAAAACAGTGCAGACTATTCCCTCCAAGTAGTTCAAATTACTACGAAAGTAAGAAAACAACACATAAGTGCTCACAAAGAAAATGTTCGGAGTCATTAAGTTGTCAGAATAACACCATGTTCAGAATCACACTATAAAACTATGGATTGAAGCACCGTGTGCATAAACCACCGTAGAGATGGCAAGCAGTAGCAATGAGAAGCGCAGTATCTGTTCTGGCCTCTGATGAAAATCAATCAACATTCAAAATCACACCAAGAATATAATCAAAGTCTGCACCCACTCCTATGGAGCTAACTTCAGAGAGATCACAGAACCATTCCAACAGTGATATGATTCACCCTAGTTCAGGCCAAATCCACATGACTGCACCAAAATCACACTCTGAGCTGACCCAAGTTAGAAGCTCCCACTACCTAAACACATAAACCAACCCTCACGGCCTCACCTAGCTGGGCCAGCTCAGCACACGAATAGGGAGCAAATCAAAGGAGAAGCGTGTGCACACCTACCAGGCATTGAGCGTGTGCTGGAATTACCGTTTAGAACCTCCCACTCCCTAAACACATAAACCAACCCTCCAGCTGCGGCATTTCACCCAACACCCGCCGCACCCGCCAGGAAGTCCGGAAGAAAAATGAGAGAATTTCCTACCTCCTTGCCAAAGCCGAAGATGCGGTGATGGTGCATGATGGGCACAACGCCCCTGCATTCATCGCTCTCCCATGCGGCGGCGATGACGATAAGCGCCCCTGGGCCGAGCAAGCGAGAAGCGGCCGGCGCAGCTAGAGGCACCCCGACACTGTGAGCCTGCTAACCATCTCGTGGTGGGGATTCCATCATGTGTGGCAGAAAACCAAGTGCACAAGCATCGTTCGCTCAATCTTTTGGTAAGCAGGAGAAGGGCGAGTCGATCCCAGTTCCTAGAAGAGAGAGAGGCACCTGGCGAGGTCGGCGCTAGAGGGCAGGGTGTGGAGCCGCGACACTCTGTAGAAGAGGGCCTGGAGAGGAGACCGGCGGCGGCGACCTCTAGCTCGGCGTGCGCTGCCGCCGGCCGGCCGGAGGGGCCGTGCGCGCCGCTGGCATGGGGAGGTGGCTGAGCGCCGCTAGCCGGGGAAGGGTGCCGAGCGTTCGAGGGGAGGGGGCGAGGGGCACGGAGCGCCGGGGGTCACGGCGTCAGTCGCTGTTTGGTCCTGCCCGGGTAGACGCTGGCGGCGGCATCGGGAGGGAGGGGGTGCAGAAAGGAGGGAGCCAGGGAGGGGTCGCGCGTGAGATTCAGGAGGCGTCGCGGGACACGGGCCCACCTGTCGGCACGCGAGGGTTTTACCTGGGTGCTACGGAGTGGCAGGACGAAGAGCGGGAAGAGCCGGACATTCGCCGCTTTTTAGTTGCAGAGAAGAGACAGAGATATAGGGTGAGATAGGAAAAAGGAAATGGATGATTAAGATGTAATATTTTCTATCTCAATCTCTATCGAAACGAGCCCGAAAATGGTTGTTCAATCCAATCTGATAATCTTGTTCATCAATTCTAATGAAATAAAGAAATGTAAGCTGTACCTGAACTGAACCTCTCTTTTCTAAAAAATGTTTACTATTTTTCTATTGGCTGCATGAACTTTTACATTCAGACAGCCCAAGATAGATAAGAGCAAATACAATAAGGTGATATAAACGAGCCGTAAACTTACAACCAGCTATGGCTCAGGCTAAAAAAATCAATATAAGAGAATGAGATAGACTGTGTATTAATGGTGTGGTCCGAGAAGTAACTATCATATAATAAGTCTTGACAACATCACAACAGCCACACATGTGGAAGAATTCGTCTCATTGAGGATCCAGAACATCCAACTGCAGCTTAAGATGCAAGATTTTATAGTATGAAAGTGGACAACCGATGGTCAATACTTCACTCGCTCCGCTTACGGATTCAGTTCAAAAGTTCATAAGGGAGATACCAACTGAACCTACTTTCGAAAGCGCACGCAGAAAATAAATGAAATTTTTTCACTTGGACTATCATACAAGGCAAAATTCTTACGGCGGACAACATGCAATTAAGGGGATGACCGCATCAGGAAAACTGCATTATGTGCAACGGATCATTGTAAATGGGCCTACATTATGCTTGCTCTGCCCTTTTGCCAAATTGGTTTGGAACCAAGTCTTGACTTGGGAGCACTTTGATGTGCAGCTGATCTACCATGATATTACCCTAGTGGGAGGCAGCAGCTCGATAGTCATCTACATATTATGGAACCTATGAAAAGAAAGAAACTGTAGGATCTTCGAGAAGAGTTTCCAAATCATTGACCAAGTTGCATAAAAAACTAGAGAGGACATTGACATGAGAGAGAGCGCTCTTTCGGCATTGTGGGGGTAGCAGATCCCTTTGATATCCCGTGTGTATTTTTGGAGCCTGGTGTGTGCCCCAGCTGGTATTTGTTTTGAGTCTGTCTACTGACCATTCAGTTGTTCTGTTGTTTCAAAACAACCGGTTATTCCAACAGCCCAAAACAACCGGATTCTGTACAATGAGCAATTTGGTTGTTTTGAAGCTTCCTAATAACCGGTTATTCTAAAGACCTAAAAAAAACAAAAAAAAAAAACACACAAATTGATATATAGACTAGATAAAAATAGAAAAAAAATACACTCAAAATCAAACAAAAGGGGAAATTATATTTTCATCATGAATGCAATATATCACAGAAAAAATATAAGAAAACAATTAACAGGGATTTGCCGTGATGATTGGTTACCAGTACATAAACAAAAGATAACAATTCAAAAAAAAATTACAATAATATATATGCCTAATTCAGACTGTTCTGATCAGTAAACTCAAGCCTGTTGGCTGAAAAGTTCTGGGACTAAGACTAAAACTCAACATATCTGCTTATATGGTGCCATATATATGCAATCATAACAAGATTAAAACTGAAAAAGCACTAAACTGATGTGATGCCAAAAAATAAATTTCAAACTCATGCAGCTAATTAGCAAAGAAGAAATCAAACAACAAAGGCGCAAAAAACGTTACGTTTATCTTGCCAAAACATAACTCACATAAGTACTTGGAGTGCTGGGAGAGCTCCATCTTCTTGATCTGCAGATGCACCTGCACAAAAGGCACAAAAAACGTTCAAAAATGGAACTGCTACTTGTCAACCTACACACAAAAAAAGCGTCTGAAAACAGCACCAAAAGACAGATAAACAAAACTTCAAGGCAACAGGAAACAGGTACCAAAAACAGGTATTTTTAAAAGAATCAGCGAAAAAAACAACTATTTTGGGAAACTCTCACTCTCACACTCACAAAGAGAAACAACATGAACCGGATTTTGATACTGCAAACATACTGACTTTAACAAAAGTGATTCAGCCCATCACAAGATATCTAGATGCAAGATACATTCTAAAATCCATGTTAAGGAAAAAATATGACCGATGGATATATGAATTTTTCAGAAGAGCAACAAGCAGACTGACAGGGGACTGCACAAAAAACAGGGAGTGTGAGAGAAAACATACCACTACTTGAATTAGATCAATAGCTAATAAAGAAGACATAAAACCTATAACACAAACAAGACTGAAACTCAGTCAGCTACTACTTTGCAACAAATTCTAAATGTAGATTGTAGTATCTTGAAAGTGACATTGCACAGGAAATGAAAACCACACTCATCTCAGTCAGCTACTACTCCAAATTTTCTAAAACTCACTTAACCACAATAAACTGAGTTGCAAAGAAATTAACCAAAGCTATAGACTAAGGATCAATATGGAAATATAGTATGAAAATGACATGGCTCACAAATTGAATACACATTGACTTGCTAGGAGTGACAATGCAAAACCTATAAGATAGACTGAGGTATTGTCTCTGCAGTACCGAAATGCCACTGCTACTATTGCCGAACTACAACTAGTTCCACACACTGAATCAAGCAATCAGGCTGCATTATGGAGCTGAGTCAACCTACAGCTGCTGCACGAATTTACTAAAACTTAGTAACTGAAACATGATGGAGCTGAGTTACTTAAACTGAAACTAGGATACTGAAAAAAAGACTACCTTGGTGCAATTAAAGATAAAAATTTAACTAAAACTCAACTAAAAACAATCCTGAACTTGAAACTAAAGTCTAGGAACTAGAAACCTGGAATTATAAAACTAAAAATAAAAAATAAAAACTGAACTGATAACAATCCTGAACCTGAAACCGAAATTAAAAAAATAATGTAGCAGATATGGGCACAACCATAATAAACCTGAGACTCAAATACTGAAGCTGAGAACCTAGATTCTACGTGATTGAACCTGAACTTAAACTACAACATAGAGACCTGAACTTCAGCTATACGAAAAAACTGAAATTTAATTCACTGAAACTCTAATGCAGGTTACAAAACTAAATTGAACCTCACAGACATGACTGAAACTGATAACTGAAAATAAATAAAGAGACAGATATCGAGAAAAAACTACTGGACTTGAACTGAACAAAAACTAAAAATAGGTTCTACTAAACTTAACCTGAAAATAAAACTGAACTAAAACTGAAAATAGATTCTACTTAACTGAACCTAGATTTAACACTGAATCGCAAGAAAATTAAAATACATAACTGCCAAACTCTAATGCAGTTCAATGAAATTCGATGGTACTCAACCTAAATTCTAAAAAAACTGAACTCAAGTAGAACTGATAATTAATTTCACTGGACTTGAACTGAATTTATAACGAAAAATAGACTATACTAAACTTAACCTGAACTTGAACAAAACTAAAACTAAAAAATAGATTATACTAAATTGAACTAACCTAAATATATTAAACTAACCTAAATTTATAAAATTAAAAAAATAATGTAGCAGATATGGGCACAACCATAATAAACCTAAGACTCAAATACTGAAGCTGAGAACCTAGATTCTACGTGATTGAACCTAGATTCTACGTGATTGAACCTGAACTTAAACTACAACATAGAGACCTGAACTTCAGCTACACGAAAAAACTGAAATTTAATTCACTGAAACTCTAATGCATGTTACAAAACTAAACTGAACCTTTGAGACATGACTCAAACTGATAACTGAAAATAAATAAAGAGACAGAGATCGAGAAAAAACTACTGGACTTGAACTGAACAAAAACTGGAAATAGGTTCTACTAAACTTAACCTAAAAATAAAACTGAACTAAAACTGAAAATAGATTCTACTTAACTGAACCTAGATTTAACACTGAATCGCAAGAAAATTAAAATACATAACTGCCAAACTCTAATGCAGTTCAATGAAATTCGATGGTATTCAACCTAAATTCTAAAAAAACTGAACCTGAAGTAGAACTGATTATTAATTTCACTGGACTTGAACTGAATTTATAACGAAAAATAGACTATACTAAACTTAATCTGAACTTGAACAAAACTAAAACTAAAAAATAGATTATACTAAATTGAACTAACCTAAATTTATTAAACTAACCTAAATTTATAATGCAGTTAAAGTGATGCAATGACAAACTGAACTAACTAAACAAAATTCAGAAAATAAAAACTATGAAGATAAACTAAACTAACTGCTAAAATCCTAAATAGTGAAAATTGAAACAATATTCAGAACAAAAATTCACACAACGAAGTTGAACCATAGCTACAAACGAAAGCCTAAGCCAGCTTGTAAATTGAACTGTACCCAACCAAATAGATCATAGTCTAGTGTAACGAACTGCGCTTTACTGGAACCAAGTGAAGCAAACAGCATGACTCAGCAAACTTCTGCACCATCACCACCACAACAGAAAAGGCATGTTGCATGCCTTGTGTGGCTCACATTAGATGAAACTAGCCTAAACTTGCACATCTGAGTATTACTAGGTACATTCAAGGTACACAATACCCATACTTCCCAAACAACCGAAATAGGCACTAGCCATACACATATGAAACATGTGTCAAGTATATAACTCAATCTCACACCACAAACTTAAATCATAGATTATTGTAGCTTGGTTAATAGTTCACCAATACAGCCGGCATATGCAGATGTAGTCACTAGGTTTTATCAACTCTACGCAAATACATATGTAGATGGATACATATATAGCAAGCAAAACAATCCCATGAGCGCAGCCATCAAATCGCACAAAAAAAGACAGGTGCGGATGATGCGCCTCTTATTACAAGCATCTGGTTTGGTACCTCTCAAACGGGTTGGGCTGAGGTGTGAGATTGCTGACAGCCAGAGACACACACTTGTAGGCACACGGGAACTAGCTAATTTAGTGTGGCCGCGTGCATGCACAAGATAGCTAATCAAGACTCCGGGATTTAGTGCAGCCTCAACTAATTAAAATCTAAGCAAACTAATTCAATCGAAGATATCAGCCATGCGCCGGACATCCCAGTTACAGAAGAAATATGAATTTTCAAGAGCTCTAAAAATTATTTAATGTATGCAACATGCAAAACTGAAACCTTGAAATCTTGGTGACTTAGACTGTTTCTTAACTATGTGTCAATTTAAGGAGTTAATTAAACATTAACTAAATTTGTTCAGGGACAAACAATAATTTATTTTCTCCCTTATGCTCATTTATTTTCTATAAGAATGCAGAAAACAATAATTTATTTGCACAAGCCAAAAAATGTACATCAGCAGTAGAAATGATACCTTGAATTTGCAAAACACAACAAATTGCTCCAACAAATTTATATTTGTAGTAGAAATGAAGGCTTAAAAAAAAGAGGAACACATATAAATCAAAAAAAAATTATATAACTACTACTGATGTACGACGCACACTTACATGTTCATGTCATTCATGACCATGATCTGCTCGAGTACTTTCATCTACAACATGAAAACATTTGCTCCTAGCAGCCATGATTACCTAAAAATGACAAAAAAAATCAATATATACTATCAAAATTCTCTAACAGTAGCAAAACATGTCATCTACCTCTACATCCACCCAACAATCCGAACCAAAAACATCTACAAAAGAAAACGACAAAACAATGAATCAACTATACAGCCTACCATATTTGTAAAACAAAGCTCAAGAGAGCACACATACACATGGAAAAAAAAGAGCACAAGCGTACTTCTCTGGTTGACACTCGTACGCACTTAGCATTAAATTCATCGAAAACGACAGTGGAATGACGGTAGGGATTCAGATAACTCTCACATGTAGCATTCAGATATCAGGTATCTCAAACTTAACAATACATCAGATAACTAAAACTTAACAATACATCAGCATTCAGATGTCAGGTATCATGTAACTGGAATTTAACTGAAACTAAAACCGATAAATACATTAACTAGTAGCATTCAAGTATCAGGTAGCATCACAAAAATCAGGTACATAAAAAAATCAGGTAGTTCACATTCAGAAAAAAAAACTCTGAAATGAACACTATAACTGAAAAATAAATGAGCACTCTGAAAATGAACAATGAAACTAAAATCACGTAAAGGGATAAGAGGTAATTATCGTCATAGAAAAACAACATGCAGCTAAAAAATGTCTACTACAAAAATTATTCTGCAATGAGCATTACAACGGGACACAAACTCATAATTAATTTTGTAGAACCGAGCTCTTCTCACAAATTAAACTGCCTTCAAAATCAACACCACATTTCCACTGTCCAAAAACAATTATAAATACCAATTTGCATCGAAAAAAACAAAGATACAATCAACAACAATAACATATCATTTACCTCTGCATCAATCGAACCATTCAAATCCCTAGAACCATTCAAATCACAAATCATGTGAACAATAATCACAGGACAATGAACCAACAAACAATCGTCAACTCCTAAAAGCTATACAGACTACCCTGCAGAGACAACACCATCCGCCAATGAATCAAAAAATGGGGCAAAAAACCTAAGCACAAATTGAAGAACACGGGAACTCGGATCCCGCATCACCTAAGGGGAAAACCCTAGACAACGAACAACACAACACAAAAATCGCATTAAGCGGACACACAAACCAGATCTGAAACGAGGACAAAGGCATTAAACATCAACACACACATTGAATAATGCAACAAACAAACCCAAGCATCGATGGAACATATCACAAAGAAGGGGCAGGAAGAACTTAGCTCGTGAAACCCTAGAAACCGCAGCTCGCCGTGCCGGGGAGCGGCGCCAGGCCCTGAGCGCCCTGCACAGGCGGCCAAGGCCAGCGCGCCGCGCGGGGGATCCACGCCGACGGCCGCAAGGAAGCGCGCGTCCTCCGCGTCCAGCCGGTTGCCCAGGTGGAACCGCCACACGCGGACCAGCGCCAGGCCGCCGTCGGGGCTGGCCAGGGCCACGCCCACCTGCGCGAACCGGACGCCCTCCACGTGGGGGCGCGCGGCCTCGTAGCGGGCGTCGAGCGTGCCGCAGGGCGTCAAGGGTGCCGGGAGTCGACAGGAGGAAGCCGAAACGAAATGAGAATGGGAAAGGGGGAAACGGAGGACACAAAATCAGGCGCGGCTCCCGAAAAATCAAACGGTACCAAAAGAAAAGCAGGACCCACATGTCTCAGAAACAACAACCAAACACCAAGATCGGACGTCCCGAAAACGCGCCACGAGACAACAATCGACGGCCCAAAAATCGGTTAGAACATAAACAAAAAACAACCGGGCAAGATATAGCAATTCTGTTTGTTTGTTTTTTCGTTCAAATTGTGTATAAACTCTTTTTTCTGTGTTAATTGAAAGGCAAGGCTTCTGCCACCTCAAAAAAAGAAGAAAAACTATCATGTAAGTGGACCTTCATATATTAGTTATTATAGGTGACAGTGCACTAGCGTTCAGCTAAATTATTAGCCATGGTCTATGAGCAGAGTACGAATCAAAAGCTTTCCACAAGCGACTGACAAACTTTTCAGATCAAAGGCTACGCGCGCCGGCGTCCTTGGCGGCGGGGAGATGGCCATGGCCTCTGAGCGAGTCGACGGCGTCGTCGAACATCTCCTCGACGCCCTTGAGATCGGCCAGCCCCAGCGCGCGGGCCTTGGACGTGTCGAAGCCGTACGACTGCTCGCCGTAGACGCTGGGCAGGCTCCTCGGGATCGGGTACGCCGGGAACCGCCGCGCGAGCAGCGCGACGAGGTCGCCGCAGCCTAGCACCGCCGCGTTGCAGATGTACCTCCCGTGGGCGCCCGCGGACTCGTACGCCAGGATGTGGCACCTCGCCACGTCGTCGATGTGGACGTACCCCATCCTCCCGTACACCGTGAACTTCGCCGTCTCTCCTGCAACCACAGCAGCAGCGTGCGTCTCATTGGTCACCCTTTCTTTCATAAACCTTGCATGCCGCAAATCGACCTTTGCATGCATATTGTTTACAAAAGAAGTTCAGTCCGGCAATCCCGTGCCGTAGTTGTTCTTAGAAAACAGTGTTTCACCTGTTCCTGTTCATGTTCTTTCTTTAACTATTTATAAATTTATCAAGTATGCCCCTTAAAGAAAACAGTGTTTCATTGGTATTCTGATAAGGATATATATGAGACTGATGACTTGATGAGGGTTTTTTTTTCTCTAAAAAAGACTGATGAGGGTTCTGTCCTGACAGAATTTTTGCATACCTTGGAATAAGCCGAGGACATCAGAAGCAGTGGGGCTGAGCTCAGGAGACAGATTAGGTCCGATAACGAAGGTTGGAAGAACAGTCACAAGGTCGATCCTGTGCTCTTTGGCAAACTCCCAGGCTGCCTTCTCGGCGAGGATCTTTGCAACGGCATACCATATCTAAGGGAGCAGCACATTGGCACGATCCAAATTACTCGTCTGAGAAAATCACCGCACAAGATCATAGCCTGAGTTTAGATTTGATAACCTTACGCTCACCTGGAGACTTTCGCAGTACTCAATGGAGCTCCATGACGTTTCATCCAGCAACACGTTAGGGGGCAGGTCGGCTTCATCCTTGATCCTCACGGTCGCCGACGAAGATGTCAGGACAACCCTCCTGAGGGATGGATTCTTCTTGCATGAGCGTAGCACGTTCAGAGTGCCGTTTATTGCTGAATCAAGCATTTCCGCCTGCAAAGTGGCATCGTCATATTTCAGTTGCTATTTGTTCAAGATTTTCTGAAGCTGAAAACATGAGAAACCTTCAGTTTCTAACAAAAATGGAGTGGTCAGAATTGCTGTTTCGCATGCCTTGGAATCAGATTTAGTGATGACAGGCGATGCAGTGTGGAAGACGCCCTCAGAAGCCATCACAGCGTCGTCAAAGCTCCCTTCCTCCAAGAGGTCAGCTCTCACAAGCTGCAGCCTTTCCTTTGCGCCTTCCAGATTCCAGAGGTGTCCTACTTTCTTGTCATTCCCTATCAAGACATCAAACAAGTTACCTTGCTTTCAGTAGAGATTTATTTGACAAGTAATAAAAATGGACATAAACCATTACCAGGTATTACTAATAGATTAATTCAGACCAGCACAATAAGATGAAACTGACCTGGGTCTCTGACTGTTCCGAGGACATGGTACCCAGACTCAAGAAGCCGCTTGACGAGCCAGGAGGCGATGAAACCAGACGCCCCAGTGACACAGACTTTACCCTTAGCAGCGCTAGCCATTCTCTCAGACTCCAGGTGCTCCTGTGATTTGATCCAAGGCAGTTTATATTTATATTATGCACATTGAAGTACCCAGTATGGCTAGTGTGTCACCCCTTTTTGGTGACTCAGTTGGGCAGGTGGAGAGTTGGCTTGGTCATGTGAGGCTCACAGCTTCTGCACTCCACTGGATTAAACCACTCCCATCCTACAAAAGTTCACAGCTTAGAAAGGCATGAATTACCAACCTACTTGTATTGCAGGAACCTTCTTCCTTCCTACTGAGACGCTGCTTTACCAAAACTTTCTTAAACATGTGTAATTTCATCAGTTCAAGTTACTGGTTAGTGGTTAGTTTATTCCAATGGCAACTGTCCCTAACAGAATGAGGCAATGCACAAGAAGTTTCATTCCTGGACATTTTATTCTGATTACATCCTTTTTCTCGAAACAAAAATCTGATTACATACTGGTTGATGATGGCATGTCACTGCAATTCAATCAAAACTGTCACAACAAAAAAATTACAGTCTTAATGTGCACAAAAAATGCGTAGGGAAACTAAATTCCTACAGAGCATGCAAAATGTATGTTGTACAGTTGATCTTCCCTAGGATCCCTACTCTAGTTCGGAGTAGATTCCAAATGCTGGGAGTTATAGAGGGGCCGTTGAGGAGGGTATCCTGGAAGGAGAGAGTTTCACACTAGCACAGATCTTCCCCTCAATATGTGCAGGTACAGGTAGGACTTGGATCACAGTGCAACAGGCAGACCTGATAGTGTGCAAATCCACTGTCCAATTTCACTTCTGAGGAGATAGGCCGAATGAAGAAGCAATTTCTGCCAAGTGCTGCCCTGTTGAATTTGTTATGAATGCTATAGGGACTACAGGCTGAAACATGAACTCATCGTCCTCCACCTGGAGGTCATAGCATGTTTTGAGTTCCATTGCTTTAGATTCTGTAGCTTCAGCTTCTTTGCGTAGTATCTCAACTTCATCAGTATCATCTGTTTCAGTTGCAGCAGTCAATTCTGCTCTAGCAGCAGCACAATCTAACCGGAGTCTTTTGTAACTTGTCAATGCCGACTCTTTTTCTTTAAGTACAATAAGCCCTTCGCATTCCTGTATCTTGTCTGTTGTTGCTACAATGTCCTTTTCTATTATCTCTAGATCAGTAGCAGCTTTCTCCAACTTACCATGCAGTTCGTCCTTTTCGGAATTAAGAGCTTTTGCCTCTGCAGCTATCCTTCCTGCTTCCTTAAAGTTTCTTGCAGCAGCCGCAACTTTCTTTTCAGCCTCTAGCTCAGGGCCCCTTTTGTCAATGAAGCTCAATTTCTGCTTAAATGAATCCATTTCTTGCTGTATGCTTGTTCTCCTTGACGATACCTCCTGCAAGACAAAATCAAGTATAAAATATTTAGAATAGCTTACATCCAAAACAAAACATGAAGCTCAGTATTTAAATAATACAAATATTAAAAAAAAATAAAAGAATAGTTGGTGTACCTGAAGAGTAGTTCTTGCATCTGTAATTTTTTGCCTAAGCATTTGAATGTCTTGCAAAAATTCCTCCTCCATTTTTAGCAACTCAATTCTATCCTCTCTTGACTTCAAAATCGATGATGCAAGCTTTCTTCTTATTTCAACTGATTGTTGGCAAGTTTTTGCTTCAGAGGAACAAGCACCAATAATTTCCCTCAACTCTGAATCTTTTTGCTCTGTTAAAGAAATGAACTTGTCAATTTCATTCTTTTTCAACACAAGTTCTTCAGTCTCTAGATCCACTTTACTTTGGGCTTCCTTCAAGGAATTGAGCTTCAAGTCAATATCTGACTGAGAGCCATGGAATCTGGAGACCACTGAACTGATTCTTTCTTGAACTTCATGGATCCGGGCATTGTTTTCAGCTATCTCTGCTTCTTTCAACCTCACCAACTCTAGAAGCTCAGCTAACTCCTTAGCGAGGATTTCTCCTTTTTTACTAAGTGTATCTTTCTCCAGTTTGTCTTCTTCAACCAAATGCTCTATTGACCCTTCCAACCCAGAACGTGCTTCTAAAACCAACTGTGTTTCAACTTCAATTTCTAACTTCTTTGTTTCTAGTAACTCCATTGATGTTTGCCACCCTTCTATTTCTTTCGAGGATAATTCTTGTGCTTGCTTGCTCTCCGAATTAGCATGCTCAATGGCATCCTAAGAAAGGTAGAGTTTTACGAATTAAGATAAAAGAGTAGAAGCCATTGCAATTATACCATAAGAAATAGCAATTGTTTGTTGTTTAAGTTTGTATTGTAGATCATCTTATCTTGCATCGACTTTTAACTATGGTTTTGGGCACTAGATGGTTCCAACAAGTTACATAACAGGAAGAAAAGATATATTGGACAAAGCTATGTGATGCAGACCTAATTCAGAAACTTAAGCAACAACCAGTCGCATGTAAAATAGTAAAATGTATCCTTTTCAATCATATAGGATAGCTCACTTTTGTAGCCTGTAGTCAAAAGGTTGGAATATTATCTTGTTTGAAACTTCTTGCCAATAATTACATAGTAAACATAGTGGATGATTATTCCTTGAGCATTAACAAAAATTGCATCAATACTACACACATAATATGATAGGACGTTCCATAATTTACACGTTCTATCTTGTGTTGAAATTAGCCCCTCACTAGATCATGTCTATAAGTGTTCTTCAAACAAAGAAAAGATTACACCAAGATTGTATTACAAGGTAAAAATTGTAAAGATGGTATATAAGTAGCAAGAATTCATATTTGAGAGTGGAAATTCAGATGCCTATGTGTTTTCTTTAATGTTTGAGCAATGGTTGTTTGGAGCTACAATTCTATGCCAAGTTAAAACAATACTGACAAAGATAATTTACCTTTGCAAATTGCTCCAGAAGGGCAGCAGCTTCCTCCTCGGCAGCAATACGAGACTCAAGCACCTCCTGCAGCTCCGAATCCACTGAACCATAGTCAAGCTCAGCATCACGCAGCGCCGTCAACAGCCGATCCTTCTCCTTCTCGAGCGCAGCGAGGGAGTCACTGATCCTCTCTGCCCTCTCAAAGTCCTCGGCCTCACAGGCCTCCTCCAGCTCCCTCTCCAAATCCTTGTGCCTGGATGCCACGGAGGCCGCCTCCTCCGCCACCTTCCTCCGCCGGCCAGCCAGAAGCCTCCTCTTGGCAGCCACGGCAGCAGCCCTCTGCTGGATGGAGTCCAGCTTGCCGGAGATTTGGGATCTGAGGAGAGCCAGCCTCTCCTCGATCCCCAAGGCTGCAACTCCAGCATCTTCGTTCTCTTTCCCATCATCGTCCTCCTCCTTTGCCGCCTCCTCTACACGCGGCGGTGAATTGGTATCCACATACACCGCCTCCGCGTGCGCCTCGTAGCCGTTGGCATAGACATCGACTTGCTGATCAGGGAGCTGATCGATGGTACGAGTAGCGGCCGGATGCGGCGAAGCGTCCAGGAAGGCGATACTGCTAGCGGAGATCGCAGCAGCTGCTGCGGAGGCACGAACCGTGGCAGGAGGGGAAGGCGGCGCGGGCTGCGGCGAGCGGCCGTACCCGATGCGCACGGCCCTCTTCTTCTTCCGTAGCGAAGAGGAGGACGGCTGCCGGGGAGAGCGCCGCAGCAGTGGCTTGCGGCGCGGGCGACGGCGCGGGGGCAAGCGGCGCGTGGCCCTGATCCTCGCCTTTGCGGGGGCGGCGGCTGCTCCAGCGAGTGCGGCTCCTGCGGGGCGAGGAGGGTGAGATCGGAGAAGAGGTCCTCGTCGAGCGGCGGTGGCGCGGACGAAGCCGCGTCGGCGTCGGGGCGGGCGGCGGGTGGCAGCTCAGGGACAGGGGCAGGGGCAGGGGCGGGGGCAGGGACCGGGTCCTCGGTAGCGGCGGGTTCTGGCGCGAAGAGGACCATGCCCTCGAAGAGCGAGCTGCCGTCCTCGCCACCTCCCCACCGATCGTCCTGGGACGCCATCGCCGCCGCCGCCTCCTCCTGACCAATCGGTGGCTGACGGATCGGGAAGAGTAAAGATGACTACAAGGTGGGCGGTAGAGTGGACTGAGCAATAATGGATGGGACGTGGGCGACGCCGCCGCTGCGTGCGTTGCTAGATTAGATCGTCGAGGAGTAATTCGTGCGGTAATCGCCGTGATCTGGCATCCGAGTCTGTCACGGTGTTACCTTTGTCTCGTACTACCACGGAACTGCTTCGGATGCGGAGGATGATGATGAACTGCCTGCCTGCGTTGCAAGGCTTACGTGGACTGCTTCTCTTAGCCCACATTTTTTCTGTTTTCATCTAAAACTAGTAAGGTCCCTATCAAAAAAAAAAAAGTAAGGTCCAGATGAAATTATCTAAAATTCCTGTTTTCCACATTTTCTCCTGTGAAAATAAACTGATTCATCTAAAACTCATATATGATTTCTATGAAATTTCTACGTTACAAAAGACCTTACTAATTTTGCGCTAGAATTTTGGTACAACAGGGGGAATCGTCCTTGTTTGCTTGGAAACAGCAAACTCTGCTAGTCCATGCCAGGAATTTCATTCTTTGCTTCCTGTGTAGGATCATCAGGTATCATAAGCATCCGTTGTCAGAACTGGACGGTGTTTCATTTCATACAAACAGAGAAGGCCTCTTTACATGAAGTTCCAAGGGAAAAAAATTGCTTACATTTCAGGTGGAACTTCAATCGGTGAGATTCCGAAGGGAATCCTCATTTTCAAGGCCCTGGCCCCTGGCTATAATAATATAGTAATAGTAAAGGATCTTACAAGAATTGCAATAATCCACTGAATACTTTCCACGCATTTGTGCGAAAGCCTGAACAAACTTGTTTCATGAAAACCCTAGCCCCATTAACACCGACTCCTGAATGATGGAAAACAATGACTAGAACTTCATTTCATTACACATGGATGCAAATGTAACCACTGTTTATGCTAAAATAGAACGAGTCGACAACAGAATAATGGGCATCATAACATGTACACCTACAGCTGCATCGGTCAACAAAAAGCAAAACACACCTGTACACAAGACACGGCTGCTATCGACAGTCTATGCATACACGACCAAAATAATAGGGAGTGCAGAGGACACCTGACGGAATCCTGTGTTTCCTCTACTTCAGGTTCAAACTGCGCATCATGCAAATGATCTAGTATTACAGGCAATGTTAAACATAGCCAATAGGACAAGCAGATTTCATCTCGACTCATGGGATTCGATCCCTCTGTGCGCCAGGTGGAGCAGCTGGCATTGGGAACGGACAATAGACTCCGTTAACATGAGGTGCCTCCACATATGGGCTCTAGAAAACAGAAGAAAGCAAGTCAGTGGCTTGCATGAGAAAGAGTCAGGAAGCTTTTCCAAGATATCAATAACTTGATGGTGTTACAATGGCAAAGCAATCGTGTTTACGAAGAGGAGCTGTTACCGGGACAGGAGGCTGATTAGGAGTGAACGGTGCCTCCCTCTTTGGGGATGAGTCAGGGGAGCTGCCATCATTGTCGTCCATGTTGTCTATATTCTTCACTTGTGATGTTTCCCCCTCACTAGGGTTGAGCTTAACCCGCTAAGTGGAGCAAGAATAAAACTCAGATACTGGAAACGTCAACGGCTTTATTGCTATACAAACAGAAATTGAGCAATACCTGAAAAATTCTTCCTAAAGTTTTAAGCCTTTTAGCACGAAGGCGCAATTCCTCCTTCCTGGCACTACTGTCTTGAAGTACCTGGTATTGGTAGTGTTAGAAATCTACAGCTACACTAGCCATGTTAATAAAGTACTAATGGCTGCAAAGGGAAAGGTGCAGTTGTTGGGACAGACCATTTGACAGACATGGGATAATGTGGCTTCTATGTCAGCAACGTTAAGCTTCCACAAGGAATCAACCATGACTTTCTTGTGGTTTTCCATGTACATTTCAAGTTCTGCCTCTGTGTACTGGCCCTCGGCACTCATATACTTCCTCAAGTCCTCTTGCAACTGCATAAGAGCTATTGCACCTGCCAAATAAGGAAACAACAATGTGTCAAAAACTAAGGAGACAACAAAATTCATGAAAAACATAGCACATCAACATAGATGATGCCAAAACTGCATTATATGCTTCCAAAATTTTCAGACAAAAGTCCAGTTAAACAATGATTAGTTCTCGTTACCTGTGGCAGCTGTTACTTGGGATTTGATAAAATGCCCTTTGTCTCTGAACCATTCAGCAATAAATGGAACCCCCAAAACATCGCTTTTTTCCAAGTTCTTTTGCAGCTTGCCTTGAATATACATAGCCAATAGTGTTCAACATAACAATTCCATATGCTGCCATATAAGCAAAACAGAACCAAAAGAGGGAAAAACTTCAGTTAACAGAGCACAAATTCTTACCTGGAAAGAACAGATTAAAAGAGTAGCCTGAAGTGAACAAAGATTGAGTGCATACTGATAACACTAAACAACAGGTTTGGCCAAAAAAATATTTCCCGTAGGATTATGACACTATCATAAACTTCAGGGATAAGGAAGAATGGCATATCTGCCAGCTGTGATCTTATGTACACCTTTTACTTCAGATAAGAGGTCGGTTTCAAACCTTATTTTCAGTTGTTAGTTAAGAGGGCATTAATAAATTCGAATGTGCTTCTCGTGCTTCTATTTTCTGCTTCATTTAGGCGAATAAACTCAATAAGTGGTTGTTTTAAGAGTGATGTCAAATGCAGTAATACTTGTCAAGATATTTAACTATCTATTGAACCATATGATAAATAAAGAGACAAGAAAAACTTATTCAATACCATACGCCAACTAAGAAAACAGACAGAATGGGATTAAAAGGAAAAAAACATATTTGGCATTGAGCGACAGAAGGGATTCGTAACGGCTAAAACCTGCATTGCTAAGTTTGGACACCTCTGCTTCAGCATGCTGGATGAATTCTTCCTTATTTCCTTGAACATAAGTGTTTAGCAGGTTTTTCAGTGTCTCTGCAAGTTTTTCTTCCCGTTCCTTTTGAACAGCCTGCAGTTTTAGTTTTCCATTCAGCATGATATTATTGCAGAAAGAGTATGAAATGCAAAAGAAAAAAGAAAAACATGGATGGGATATTGACCAACCAACAACCATGATGATATTAAGTTATTAACCAACTATCTCGAAGTTTATATAACAATCCTGCTAAAGGAACATACCTGCATTCTCTCTTGCAGCTTTCTTGCATCAATCTGCTCATCTTCACCAAAATTATCTAGTGAAGCCATTGATGCCATTGCCAGTTGACCAATGTAATTCTCAAAAAGCTCACTACCAAATAGAATTGCAAAAATTGCTGCTGGATCAATAATTCCTTCCCTGTCAAATGTTGAAACCATGTGAGTAGGGATTTTGCTCTCTTATAAGATTATCTGCAGCATGAGTGAAATCACCGGTTAACCCAACAAAATCCCATCTTCGGTGGGAGAACATTATTTGCTCTAAAAAAGTTCCAAATATGATATCCATGATGGTTAATCATGAATCCTGACCCTATGAGCTTAACACCTCCCTTTTGGTACAGCCTCTGCTTCCTACTCAAAAGATGCAGCAGGATCATGCCATTTGGTAGCACTCGAAGCAGTGCCAAAAAAGAAGGCCTTGGACTGGTTTGGAACAACATGAAATAGTTTGATTCACATAGGAATAGGAAAATTTTCCCATGTTCCAACAAGCCCTAGTTCCTTTGACAAGCGGCAGCGTGTAATTTATTTGTAATTGAACATACGTTGAGATGCCGTCTTTCCCATGTGAGTCATAAGCTTGGCGCTGTGTGGGATCACTGAGAACTTGGTATGCTTCTCCTAGTTCCTGTTATGAAAATTCTATTGAGAACGAAATAGTATGCAAAGTTGCAAACAAAACTTTGGAAAGAGCATCATATCTTTCCTCATAAAGTAATGCCACGTAATGGTATCAAATCGTATTTTAAGACTGGTCATGAAGAATCATATAAGGTATATATAGCCATTCAGTAGCAACGTGCAACATGTTCATTAGTGATGTAGAAGTGTTTTCACTGTAAGCATGCATCTATGTCACATATTCAGATAGAGGGAGAGAGAGTCACATATCACAGTTTGTCAGTATATAATATCATCAGAATCACAAGTAAAATGTCATCATAATTGTCCCTGCACACAATCACAGACACCATACTAGTGAAATAGCCTAGCTCAATGCAACAAGTAAAGAGCATTCAACCTACATTGAGGATGTTAACTTTGGATAAAGGAGTTTGTTGCGGAATTGAGAAATTCACGTCTCAAGTATGAGCAATCCTATTTCTAAAAACAAGACAAATGAAAAGTCTCAACGTGACCTTTCTTTTTAAAATGACATTATGATACATGTATAATGTCTCCATTCTTAAAGCAGCAGCCAGATATTTTGTAGGCTACAAAGAAGAATGACTATCTAAATGTGCATTACAAAATGATATGGAGCAACTCTTCAGTATAAAACACTAAAACAGTAACGGAATGCGTCATACATGTCAGAATTAGATTTTGTTCACTCGTCAAAATTGTTGTTTAAGAACTAGATTCCTATTAATCATACTTCCTGTAATAGATTGTTTTGACTATCCTGTTAGCAATATTAAGGTATCATTGAAGTGAACAGTCGTTCAATAGCAAAGTACTAAGTCTAGCCACCTAATAAAACCCATTTAAACCAGTAAACCCGGCAGTTAGCACTGCCTAAACTTTTTGGGCATTGGCGTCGAGCAATAAGTCCCTAATCTGATTGAATCGAGGATTCTACACTACAGACAGAGTAGCTAGCAGCAGCATCTCTTAGCTGAGCCATTGAATCGAGGATTGTACACTACAGGCAGAGTAGCTCGCAGCAACATCTGTAAGCTGAGCAAAGCATAGATACCACAAGCTGAGAAATGGCAAAAACAGCTATACCTGGAACTTCTCCGCGGCCTGCGGATCATTCGGGTTCTTATCGGGGTGGACCAGCCTCGCCTGCACAGCCACAACCAGCAGCAGCGACAGGAATCAGATCAAACGCCCGCGGCAGAGCAAGCGGGAGCGAGGAGCCGGCCGCTTACCTTGACGTAGTACGCCTTCTTGATCTCGGACTCGGTGGCGGACGGGTCCACGCCCAACACGTCGTAGTAGCGCGTATCCTTCACCATTTTGGCTCCCTCTGCTCAAGCTTCGATCTCCCCTCCGACTTCCCCCCGAATCAGGCTCCAGGTGGGAGCGGATCCGTCCGGGTATCCGGTTGGTGGAGAGGTGACGGGGTGCGCCAGGCGGTGGGATCCGGTGGCGGTGGCGGCGGCGGCGGTGGGGGCGCCGGGGTCGGGGGAGAAGCCGGCTTTTGAGGTCCGGCCACGCACACAGCGCGTCGACTAGACTTTTTCTAAAGTTTTCAGGGAGAATTTTGTCAATTGCCACGCGCACAGGCCGTTGGCCAAGTTGCCAAGTTGGACTGGGACCCGCCCGTGGAGTGTAGTCCAACGACGAAATCCCCATATCTTCCCACATTTGCATTTTGCTAAAACTAAATAGTCCTTAATGACAGCTCAAAAATAAACTATAATTCAAGCCTACAGCTCAAAAGGAACAATTTGATGTTAGGTACTTTATCATATTAGTAGGACACAACATGTCAACATTAACGTAGGAATTAGTATTTAATACTGCAATAACAAAGCCCGATCGAGTGACTTCTCGAAGCTAAAACTAGCATTTTGTAGGTGGGATAGGGCTTCAGACTTTGGATTAACAGAAACCCCACAATATTCCAAACCTAAAAATGGTTCTAAACCCGCCATTTCGATCCTGATTTTATGGCAATGGTAATTTTGTTGAAAACTCTACTTTTAGGGATTGTCACTCTCGCCTTTTATTAGTATATGTGCACATTAGTTTAGTGTTGATTATTGCCGGTGCTGATTACTTAAGAGAGGGGACCTAGTAAGATTGAATTAATATTACAAAGAAATTATAGCAAGTCGATACGATGCCTTATCACTAGTTTTAGTAACTTATAAAAGTTACAACAGGTTTTTTTTGCGAAGAAAGTTACAACAGGCTTAACCAACTAAGAGGAGCACCCTAAAAAAACAAAGAAAGAAACCACAGCAACCCAATTTGCATCATAATATTTACTTTATTTGAACAAATAAGTTAATGCTGTCCATTTTAGTGGGAAAACGATTGAGTTACAAGGCCCCGGCGTCGCTAGGTGAGCTGAATGAGAGAAATAAAAATATTTTACTCTCCTTTTTTTATTTTCATTATTTGGTCTCACATGTTCTTCTTTCAAATTCTCAAAAGACGTGTAAAATCATTTGACTATTTGTTCATCACTAGCAAACTGTCTCTCCTTGCTCTGTCATCCACGTGGACAAGGACTGACCATTGCAGACACCCTTAATGTCTTAAACATATACATATCTATCTCTATTTCTATCTCTACATATATCTATATCTATATTTATATCTGTATCTGTATATATATCTCTATCTCCAAATACTTTCTCCACTCTAGTTTATAAGACATTTTATTATATTGGTCAAGAGTCAAACTTTATAATCTTTGATCAATAATTTGGCTAACAACTCTTAACTATTGTATACAAACTTGATAATATTATATCTATAGTAAAATTACTATCCAATAATCATAATTTTATAACTATAGAAATATAATATAATATAATTGTATGATCGATGTATAATTTAGAAGATGGTGTCATCAAAAAGAGTACTAAAGAGCAAATGGTCTCTTCCAACCCGTTTTTTATTCTCAAAAGTATGTGGTCCAGACTCATCACAACCCAACTGCTCGTGTCCAACGATGGTACGAGATCCAACTTCAAGACATATTAGATCATGTTGTAGTCCATGGGCATGTTTGCTAATCTAATACTAAAGAGCGAAGTGATTTTTTCATCTACCTTTCTTTTTATCAAAAGTGCGCTTGCATTCCATGTCGACCGCTCTCATGAGTTAGAACAAATCACATTTAAAAATGGTATAAAATCTAATTCCGAAACATATTGAATTGCATTGCACCACATGATATTTTTACTAAGCCCCCCTTTGGAACGCATGATTGAAAAAAATGACGGAGTAGATAAAAACGTAGGAATATGATATGAATACATATGCAAAACAGAGGAATGAAAAATATAGGAAGTTTGTAGTAATAGGTGTTTGGATGACCTGCAGGAGAAACACAGAAAACCAAACGCATGAGATTTGAGTGGATGCTTTTTTCATATGGTTTTCCTATGAAATCAAACACAGGAAAGTTTTCTATGTTTTTCCTACACCAAAGAGCGCTATAGTGATTCAATCTATAGGAACGTGGATCCTACATTTTCCTTTGTTTTTTCTGCAATCAAAAGAGGGCCTAAACGATAATTGTGGAATCACTTTACTAAACGATAATTGTGGAAGCACTTCAA